GGAGACACCCTGGGTCTGGCACTTCGGATTCCCCACGACTGGCCCGGCCCCATCTGCTCCTTGCTCACAGGATGTTCCACCCTCTGTACCCAAGCCCTGCTCTTTCCTATGTCTGTGCCTCTCATGCTGAAACCTGTACTTGAAATTCCATCTCCACCCTTGGCTTCTCAATGCCACCCATCCTCTACGGCCCAACTCAAAGGACGTTTATGGCTGGGAGTGACTTTTCCATAGTCCTTAACTCTCTTATGTTTTAAGGTTTCGTTTTATGTTGTAATTATTTGCATATGTATTCACTATATCCATATCCATATTGTAAATTCCTGGAAGTCAGGTTTTTCCATCTCAACTTCAACTGTGTAAATGTCTTGCTCACAGTGGACACTCAGGAGGTGGGGGCTTACACCCTCAATAAGTATGCTTTATTTTTGAATGAATAAATGAATGAATAGAACTGAAGTTAGAGATGGAAGAAAGGAAGCCAGGTGTTCTGCTAATATAATGAAGGCAGCAAGGAACCCAGCAGGGAACAATTTAAGCAGACAGAGACCTTGAAGGGAAGGAGTTGATACTGTTTCTCAGCTACATCCTCCCAAAAGCCGAACTGCTCCAGGAACTGTGACATATGTCATTGTCATAGTTGTTTATAGAGATGTTTTTGTTATCCAGGAGCATGTGCTGAACAGAGACAGTCAGGCAGAATTAGGGTCTTCTAATCATAGAACAATAGTAGCAAACTATGGCAAATGATTATGGTATTATTTTTGTTTTAATATGTGCAAATTTGTTTTTTCCAAAGAAATCAGTAGATTTACTATCCAGTAAAAGAGGTGAATCAACAATTATAGGTTCTAGGATTCTCTCATAAAATACAAAAGTATTTTCTCTCATCTCCCTCTTGGTTAACTTTATTTCTTATTGTATCTTGAGGATAGAGGGCAGATGTGTCCCAAAAACTTAGGCTCCTTAGAGAAAAGTGCCAAAGGATATCCTATCAGTACGTTGTGATGTTCTATAAGGGAGGAAAGCCTCAGAATATGTAGAAATCTGTGTCCAGAACCCACCCATTTCAAGCCAAAGAAAGAAAACGTGTGCTTACAAAGATCATTGAGACAGTGACCTTTGGTAAAAGCCCTTGCCCAGGTCACCAAGAACTGGCTTTACCCATTGTCTTTCAGAACCCATCAGCCACTCAAAAGTCCCTCTGTATTCATACCACTCAGCAGGTGAAGAGGCCTATCTGAGCCACACGTGAGCAGAAAGTTCCACCCAGACTTCTTTGAAGTGAACAGATAATTTTGGAAAGACGACTATTTTTCCGGTTGCCTTTTAAGGAACTTTTACTTCTTAGTCAATCAAAAATTCATCAATGTGACTCATTAACACAGCTCCAAATGCAGTCAGGAAGCAAGAAACACCTTTCCCGTGTCTTAGTCACTTCTATTTCCTAATATTTCCTTTATTTTAGCAAGAATTTTATTGTTTTCTGGTTAATTTAAAATATTTAAAAGTTAATTCCCTTAGTACCAAGCATACAGTAGGGATTTAATATATGAATATTGAATGAACATAAGGTTTCTTTCACTCCATGTGTCAAGAAGCTTGAGAAACTAGAATGTGAATATTTGAATGCTTTTCATTTTCTTCTCCCCCCAAAGTGCCTAGTACAAGGCTCTGTGTGATGTAAAATATGTGTGATTTGCACATGAATATAGGTGCAAAGGTAGGCTCCTGTGCGCCACACACACTGGGTCATTGACTGATGAGTTAGCTTACAGACTCCTCAATCAATTAACTTCTGGGGTTATCTATTATGAATCTATGAATATTCCATGAATGTGGAGAACCCCAATACTATTATGAGAATCCAAAGGGAGAGGAAAAAACCCACACTTACCCTGATGGCTGCTTAACACATTTGAGTTAATATAGTTGTAGTTGAATAGTTGGTTGTCTTAGCAAGCATGTTTCTATCTAATCTTTTATTATCAGTAAATTATACCAGCAACATAGGGCTGTTAACTGAAAACATCCCTCCATTCAGATAGTTTTAGATCTTATTAGGTTGTCATTTGTACTATCCCTATCTGTTTTCATATTGCCTATTTTCTCTCTGTTCAAAGCCACTGGTGCCCTTAAATTCTGGTAATGCCCAGCAGTGGGGAATGAGGATTTGAGAGTTGAAAGGAATACAGGCTCTGCTGCTTATGATAGAAGACCTTTGGCCTAGTCACTCACCCTCTTGGACCTTCACTTTTCCCAGCTATAAGATGAAGGTAATAATAGTACACACCTTTTAGAGTTGCTGTAGGGATTTTGTGAGATAATGTACATAAAATATCTGGCACATAATAGGCCTTAGAAAACATGACAGTTTCCTTCTTCCCCAGGATTAATAATCTAGACACCCACACATACTCATAAAGACTGTCAATTTAAGAATATTTGCTAAGTCTCAAAAACACTTCCCCACTGGGAAAACACTTCCCCACTGTGACCTGTGAGGCTCCAAGCAAGGTAGTCCTGCCTACCTCACCAGCTTCTCTTCCCCTGCCACCCTTGCTTCACGCCAAGTCCTTGAACACATTGGCTCATCCCCGTTCCTCTGCTCACCATGCTTCCCCTGCTGCAAAGCCTGCTCAACTGCTCTCCCCCGTCCAGGCTCTAGAATGCTCTAGATCCTCCCTTCATCTGTGTAATGTCTACTCAACCTTCATCTATCAGTTTAAATGTCACTGATTTAGCAGGACTTTCCCTAACACTGTCCTCGTAAGAATGCACCCTTTTATGTGTCCGCATGTAGCATTCAGGACTCTTTCTTTGAAACAGTTTCACATTCTTTGTTTACTTGTTTCACAATGCTGGGGATCAAACCCAGGGCCTCTGCATGTTCCGCAAGTAAGTGCTCTACCACTGAGCTACATCCCCAGGCCTTCACATTCCTAACTATATAGTTTTATATATTTGTTTGTTATAGACTGACATGTGTCCCCCACCAAATTCCTATGTGAAGCCTCAACCCCAGACCTCAGAATGTGACTCTATTTGCAGATGGGGCCTTTAAAGAAGAAATTAAGTTAAAATGAGGCCATTACAGTTGGCCCTAATCCAATCTGACTGGTGACCTTCTAAAAAGAGATTGGGACACACAAAGAGGGACATACAAAAGAGACCAGAGATTCGTGTACCCAGATAAAGCCCACATGAGGACACAGCAAGAAGGTAGCCATCTGCAAGTCAAGAGAAGGGTTTCAGGAGAAATCGAGCCTGATGACTTGGGCTTCCAGCCTCCAGGACTGTGAGGAAGTAAATTTCTGTTCTTGAAGCCAACTAGATTGTGGCATTTTGTTATGGTAGCATGAGCTGATCAGTAGGTACTTAAGGCCTGTCTCCCTGTACTAAACTATGATTTCCATAAAGACAGAAAATTTGACTATATTTCACCACTGAACTTTCAGCATGTATTTCAGTGTTTTGCCCCAACCAGGAGCCATTAACATTTTGTTTAATTCATGAAAAAAAAAGAACAAATGAATGAATGATGCCAGGTATTTCAATTTTATGTTAAAAGCTCTGTCTTCTGGATTTTTCTATGAGACTGACAGCAGACATCTTGAATAAGTATTTATTTAAGGAAGCCAAGAACATCCCAGAAAGTGTCAAAACTTAGCTTTCTGAAAGTGTTCTCAAATACAGAATATGGGTGACTTATGGGCAGGAGCCCTGCAGTTGGTTCCTAGTGGCCTGCTGCCCTTGCATGGGTGTGAGATCCTGTAGCAGATCACAGATGTACACCAGGGCTATGCTGCAGAGATCCCTCATCTCCCCTCCTTAGGGTGATGCCTCAAAACTGGGAATCCAGAGCTGATAATGGGTCCTGTGGATATGCTATGGCCCCAAAGGACTGCCTAGGCAAATTCCAGTTCAGACTCCACCTGTTACTAACACCACAAGTCTAAAGCTAGTCTTTGGGGGTCCTAGGAAGCCAGGTATTCTGTGAACACCCATCTCAGGATTGGTGCAAATTGGCCCTCTAGGGAAGCTTAAAGGCCCCATGTGAGGTAATTGGAGTTGTAGAGCATCTGGGGGTCCACATATGACCTTCGGTGCATGGAGACTCTGTGGTCACCATCTGAAGGATAACAGTGTCCTTACTCCTCCCCAATAGCATCTCCCTCCATTATTAGGTGACTAAATGCCTAAAGTCCCATCCCAACATGCCACACTTTTAGGTTAGCACTATGTATCTGGTTACCTCTTTTTAAAAATGAACCCCCACCCCTCAATTGCTCAACCTGTTCAGTCATGAACATCTTTTCTTCCTCTTTTTTTATTTCCTTTTTCTTCTTTTCTTTCAGTACTGGGAGTTGAATCCAGGACCTTGCAAGTGCTCTGTCATAGAGCTACATCCCCAGCCCTTTTCATTTTACCATGAGACAGGGTCTTGCTAAGTTGCCCAGGCTGGCCTTGAACTTGCAATTCTCTCTCTTCAGCCTCCCAAGTGGCAGGATTAAAGGCATACGCCACCATGTCTGGCCGTGAGCATTTTCTTAGGCATTAGTTGACTATCTTCTCTGGATGAGCTTGGCTTGGCTTGAGTCAGAATGGGAGAGGGAGGTCAAAGGTGTAGAAAGGGGAAATAAATCTTGAATATAAGTTCTTAGCAGTTTTTCTAGGGCTCAAGCACTTTGACTATAGCCCCCACGTGCCTAGATACCACTGGGACTCTATATCCCACAGCACCAAGGAAGAGGGATTCCAGTTGTGGTAGCTGTCTGGCCACAGAAGCTAAGAAGTTGTAGAGGGCATTTCCAGTTGCTGGCTCTTTGTTCAGGTTTCCCCATGAGTCTATAAATGGTTAATTACCTAAACTGGTAGGAGAAGCTTTCTGCCTCCTGTAAAGTTTGATTCCTGGAGGCAGACTTTTTTTTTTTTTTTTTTTTATCCAGCAAGTGTCAGATAATTGGAAGGGTGGAGTAACGCAGTAAACCACGACACACCTTTGTCAGGACTTGTTTGGAAGCAAAGCGTTGAAAGAAACAAGGGGGGAGAAGGAGAAGCAAACATTTTTGAAAGATCACTCAGCTTTAACACACCTTGGCTGGGTCTGGATAAAAAAAAGTGGGCATCGCAAATCTCTAGAGGAAAACATCAGGGGAAGAAAGAGAGAGGGGGGATTCAGACAAAGCTGGTTCTAGTTCCTTCAAAATTGCAAGCCAGGTGAGTAAGAGGAAGACTGAACTTTCTCCCTTTTTTTCTGAGACTTTGATTTAAGTTTTGCTGTTTAGAAATTAAATGCTTGTTGGAGAAAATAAATACGACAAAGTCCTTTGGTTTCTAGAGTTCTGGGTGAAGTGATTAGCTGGTTGTAAATGATGACTTTGGTATATGTGTTCTGCTTAATTCAGGTCTTTGAAAAGAACACCAAGAAAGATCTGTGAGTGGGCAGGAGCAGGCCAGCTAAGATATGCTGGACTCTAGTGGCAGAATGTTTCTGTATTATTGCCAGTATTGTAAAGGGATGTGACAAGCTGATTATTTAGAATAGGATAAGGGTTAGTAATCCCTTCTCTCTCAGCCTCAATTTCCTCTCTCACCAGCTGGTTCTCCCCCTCCCTCTGTCTCCCTCTTCCTGCCAGACAGTACAGAATAGCTCAGAGGTGAAGTTGGAGTGCAGGTAAGTGGGGGCTTCCTAGAAGCAGCCCCTGTGCCGCCCAGGACTCTGTGCTGCCAGGTTCCAATTAAGCTCCAGGAAGTGGGCAAATATTGCTGTGTGTCATGTTGTAGAATTGCTGCTGCCCTGAGTCTAAAGTGAAATGTTGGCAATGGTCTAGTTGGAGGAAGAAAAATTAGGAAAATGTTTTCTGGGTATAGATTCTCAGTGGCCAACGTGGCTCCCCTCCTCCCCACAATCACTTTGGGGTGAGAATTACCAGTTTAGGTATCTAGCAGGACCACAGTAACTGCTAACTGACAAATTACCAGTTTGCTTTCTGAAGTGGAGGCGAACCTCTGGCACACCACTTCTTTTGAGAAGCAGCTAATATTGAATCTAATAATTGAATGTATTATGTCTGCAAAATGTTTTGAGATTTTAAGAAGGTATCTGTTCAAAAAGCGGAATTGTTTCTTCTCACCTCGGTGTGTTCTCTCTTGGAACTAATGCACAGATCTGAGGCAGAACTAACCTAAAATACAGCTTTAGCTGCTGATGGAGGCCCTTGAAGTGTCTGGGATCTGTTTCACCTTTGGGACCTGCAAAACCCACACATGAATCTAATCAGAATTTACCTGGGACAGTTAAAGTGAACAGCCCAGCTTCAAATATGCATAGAAACTCCTCCAATTGGCGAAACTGATTAGACTTAAGAATTAATCACATTCTTAGATTAGGACTGACCAAAAGAAGTCTGCCTTTGCAGGGTGTTGTTCATTTGCCCTTATTAATGATAACGGCCACAATGGTAAACGAGCATAAGTGAAAAGTGGGTGCCATATCCTGCCCAGCCCAGGGCATGAAAATCAGGGTGACCTGAACAAGCAAGTGGCAAACTCCTCTCTGGGTGTGGTAGAGACCAAACCTCTGAGGTGTCTACCTCGGGGCACTGGTTTTCCTGGCAGCCAACTGGCTTAGCTCGTATGTGTGATCAGGTCACTAGGCAGTGGATGCACACTTCAGCACTTTTGCTGTTTGGTTCTATAATTTAAAGTGTATGGAGACCAGAGTAATAGAAATTATAAAAATACTTGTGATTCCTTAGCAGAGTATAGGAATGTTTTGTTTCTAAGATAAAAGGAAAAATTAGAAAAAAAATAGCTTTTTCATTGCTTTCATTAGGGACAAATGTTTCAAGTGTCTTTAGATTAAGATAAGGTCACTGTGATGGTTTGCTATTGCTAACAGTGGTTGGCCCTTGTGTGTGTGTTAGACCACATCATTGTCTGAATAGTTTTAAGTGGATACAGCATCGTTTAAATGAAGTGGAAAGGGAAAAACTCATAAAAGAAGAAAACTGATTTCAAATTATGTATTCCTGCATAAGAAAATGACATGGGAAGGTGGGTGCAGTATCACATGCCTGTGATCCCCGAGACTTGAGAGACTGAGGCAGGAGGATCGCAAGTTGGAAGCCAGCCTGGGCAATTTAGTGTCATCCTGCCTCAAAATTTAAAATAATAACAATAAAAGGGCTGGGGATGTAGCTTAGTGCGTAAGTACCCCTTGGTTCAATCTCCATTATTGAAAAAATTAAAAAAGGGAGAGAGAGAGACAGACGTGGGATCGCGGGATCATTTTTACACTTTCAAAAGAGCATTAGCTATGAAATAATCACAAAGCAGTCCCTTAGAACCAGAGGTGGGCATGTTCTCACTCATTTGCGGAAGCTATGTAAGTTGATCTAAGAAAAAGTAGAGAGAAGAATAGTGATTGAAAGAAGCTAGGAAGGATGGGAGGAAGTGGGAGAGGTTGAATAATATGTACCCAAATACAGTTAGACAGGAGGAATGCGTTCTATTGTTCCACAGTACAGTGGGTGTCTGTCATTTACAATAGCTTGCTATGTATTTTATAAGAAGGTTAAAAAAAAAGGAGTTTGTAGGCTCAGAACACTAAAAAATGATAAATCCTTTAAGGAGACAGAAATGGTAATTACCCTGATTTGATCATTACGTGTGCACATGTATCAAAAAACCACACTAGAGACCATAAATATGTATGATTGTTATGTGTCTATTAAAAATTCATTTTCCTGAGTCTGATGGCACATGCCTGTAATCCCAGCTACTTGGGAAGCTGAGGCAGGAGAATCACAAGTTGGAGGCCAGGTTTGGCAACGTAGCAAGACTCTGTCTCAAAATAAACTAAAATATAAAAAGGGGCTAGGGATGTAACTTAGTGGTTACATAAGCATCCCTGGGCTCAATCTCTGGTACAGCAGAAAATAAATAAAAATAAACAAATTAAAATGAAATTAAATAAATGAATCAATTTAACAAAAGAATTATGGATGGAAGTGAGTCTAATTTTGAAATTGAAAACTTGAATGATCCCCTCATTCTTAGTGCTAGTGAAGTGATCCAAACGTCCAAGAATTTAAAGCTTATGCTATTTGACAGAGCTTCCATTAAGTAGTGCTTTCGGAAGATGGGTGCACAGGTGAAGCCTGCCATGAAGGGCAGGCTCAGGCATGAACCCGGGCAAACCTTTCTTTTCCTTATGCTGCACTTTAAAAAATTACCAGCACTTCAACTGTTCTAAACAGAATGCTGTAGTTCCCATAGGATGATCCTAGTCCAGATGTGTGCCTCAACCCATCACTTTCTACTAAATAACTCTGAGATATTCCTTGTACATTTGGTTTAACAGGATCCATCTCCCAATTGTCTGGCAGAGAATTCTGTATGATCATGGGACACACGGCCATTTTTCACTTCAGACTGAAAGATAGGCACCTACCTGAAAACTACCTCAGCAGGCTCTATCCACACGGTGCCTTCCACTGAGGCATCCCAGGCCCTGAAGGGGCTTCTGATTTCTTAGCAGGCTGTCTCTTTGTGCCTTCTGAAAATTGGGGAACCCTTGGATTTTTGTTATAGATATTGAGGCTTTGTCAATGAAATTTAGAGAATAGATGCCTGAGGTTTTTTTCTTTTTCTTTTTTCTTTTTTTTTTGCTTGTTTATTTATTTTTTATTTTATTTTATTTTTTTTTGGTTTTTTCTGGATATGGAAAGAACAAGCGGAATTTATCAAGTTAGCTGTCTGGAGGCTGAACACTCACCACGCAGAGCTTCATGCATCTACCTTAATGGCTGCAAGTGGAAACAAAGCCAGCCCATCCCAGTAGTAAATTTCAATGAAGGATCAAAATTAAACAATAACTTGTGGGTAGTAAATCTTTCTATTAATTGTTATAAATAGTTCCTTTCATGGTAATATTTCCTATCAACCTAAATGCCATCTTGGAGTTAGTCACCTCCCAACTGGCAACCAGATATATTTAAATGTTCAGTCTCCCCAGATGCCTTCTAGTCCACAGCTAATGACCAATTGGAGGAGGAAAAAAAAAAAGTCAGAGAGAGGCTTCATAGTTCCTAAAGGTGATTAATGCTTAAACTAAGGATGTAAATAAAAGAGGGTATCCAGTTGCACATAGGTTTGCATGAAATGGTTATATAGGTGGTAGTCACAGTGTGAACATAGTCACAGGCCAGGTGTGGCCCTTAATGAGTCCAGACACCTTTATTAAACTGTTTATGGAGCCCTTTCTCTTAGCTCCAGGAAACATACCTATAAAGACATCCTGTGGCATCTTAGATTCAGCTAGAATTTTTTCCATGATACTTCATTCCTTGCCTAGAGCTACATTTAAAAGACACCAATGAGCAAGAAGTTGGCACATCTGACCAGGCCCTGAAGCTAACTGTGCCAGTCTCTGTTAATTTCACCACAGAGTGGACCAGCTGGTTTCATGAAGTCTTGGTTTTCAACTGGGAAGTCCCCCAGAGATACATGATGACTTTCATGGGCCCTACACACTTTAGCTTTCATGGGCCTCTTATACAATAAAAGAAAAAAATAACTTTTTTTTTTTCTTACTGGGGATTGAACCAGCTTCATCCCTAGTCCTTTTTACTTTTTCTTTTGAGACAGGACCTCACTTAGTTTCCTAGGCTGGATTCAAACTTGTGATCCTCCTGCCTCTGACTCCCAAGAAACTGGGATTATAGGCATGTGCATTGTGTCTGGTGAAAAAATAACTTTCAAAAATTATATTTTACAGGCTGGGGTTGTAGCTCAGTGGTAGAGCACTTGCCTAGCACACGTGAGGTACTGAATTTGAGCCTCGGCACCACATTAAAAAAAATAAATATATTGTGTCTACCAACAGCTAAAATTTTTTTAAATTATATTTTACAACTGCATTGTCATTGAGAAGAATATAATCAATGTTAGGGTGTGACCCATTTTATTTTAAGAAATTTTTTTATTTGTTCTAATTGTTTATACATGACAGTAGAATACATTTATGCATTTTGATATATCATACATAAATGGAGTATAATTTCTCATTTTTCTGATTGTACGTGTTTCAGTCATTCTACAACCAGGTACAATCAGAAATTGATTTTAAAAAAATTTAAAACATTTTTGTGGATTCTACCCCTCCCAACCCCCACAAACATGTTGTGGATCTCAGCACTGTGTCCACTGTGCCCAAAGTGGTTAGGCAGACAGAGGGTGAGCAGAGAGCTTCAAGCAAGGGGCATCTAGGATTTCAACCCTGGAATCCAATCTGAATCACAACAAGAATGGATTAGGGCAGGACAAGAAGATTAGGGCAGGGAAAAGAACTACCAGTAAGGGAATCTTCTGGAACTTGAGACTGGGCACCATGGCAAGAAGAGCCCAGATGGGATGCAGGTCCTTTCTGTGCATTCCTGTGTTTAGGCCTTGAGCTCCCAGCCACACTCCTCCCCATCAGCCCTACCTCATATCACCCATGCTTTCCTTTTCAGAAGCAGAAAGAATGGAGGAAGAGCGCAGAATACTGCAGAAGTGTATTTATCTACCCACACATTGCCATAGATTGCACACATATTTTCTTCATCTATTTTTTCCTACTTTTCATATAAGCCTCTGAGAGCTGGTGTGTTATGAAGAGAAAATTCACCTCTGCAAAGGGTGAAATTCTATGCACATAGAACAATTAAAATGATTTTCATGCTGATTTAAGTCCATCAAGCACCATGCTCACATCCAAACTCTAAATGGTACAGCATGATATATCCCTGAAGCTCCTTAGAGAACATCAAACACTATGAAATACATCAACATGAATTTGCTAATAACACACTAAGTGTCTTGAAAATTATCCTTCAATTATTTACTACTTTGGCAGAGAATAGAGGTTTATAGTCAGACAAGGATCAGGGTACCAAGACTACCATATAAGCTCTTTGATGCTCAGCAGAGAGCAGTCTGATCTATTAGATTTCAAAAAATAAGATCCCAGTACAAAGGAATAGAATCCAAAGTGGGACTATAAAATTCAGTTACAACTAATGGCAAGAAATCAGAATGATTCTTGTAAAAAAAAAAGATGCACAAGAAAGAAATCCAGTTTGAATTCTAAAAATCAAGTTCTCTGCTTGACCAGCAGCAACCTATACTTGCTAAAAGCAATGGTTAGAGACATGGCTGTTCATGGTTTCTGGCTTTTCCAGCAGGTGGCTATGGGATGGATGTGACGAAGAAAAACAAACGAGATGGCACTGAAGTCACTGAAAGAAGTAAGAGCATCTGAATTTTTTAAATTTATGATTGTTTCACTATAAAAGTAAAAAAAATTAGAAACAGAAAAAATAACATTTATAATTCTACCACAACCACTGTAGAACTTACAAACATGTTCCTAAAGGAATAAAATTCCTTTCTTGAAGAGGGCTCTTATTGGTTTTGATTTGAACACATGTATGCAAAATAGGTCCTGGCTTTTCTTCCAAGATGAAAATTGCCATTTCCAGAGCTGGGGATGTGGCTCAGTGGTAAGCACTTGCTTAGCTTGTGTGAGGCCCTGTATTCAAACCTCACCACTACAAAAAGAAAAGAAAATTTCCATTTCCATGGATAGTTTTTGTAATGACCAGTAATTTTAATGACTGCATAATATTCTGTTAAATAAATCCACTAATTTATTTGACCATTTCCTTGTTTAGGGATATAAGGCAACAAAAATCTTAAAGTATAATATCCCAGTTATTTCAGGGCTAAGTTGAAATAACACTGGTGTCATAGTTGAAATCTACACTAAGGATTGAAAACAGATACATTTATTTTGTGAAACTGCCCAAATGATGAATTCAGAGACATTTAAACTGTCCCCCCTAGCAACTCTAAATTAGGGAGGCTTTTCACTTATTCTGTGACTTTCATTTATTTCCACTAAAAAGCTCCTGGCTCCGTAGACTTGGAACTTTAGGTTAGGAAATAATTTCTTTTGATGTGTCAACGAATCCCAAAGGTCTGTACAATGAGAGGTTTAGTGAAAGCTCAAGGACTATTATTCAAACCAAACTGCCACTTTGCTCTGAAAAACCATTCCCTTTTATGCTTTGAATGCTGTTTCTGCTACATTCACTCGTGGTCCTGGTAGGTCAACTGAACTAATCAGGAAAATGCAGCATGAAGATAGACGGGCAAATGAGACGGAGCAGGTGCCAACAGCACAGCCTCCAGTGGCACAGAATGACCCTGCGCCATCTCCTTCCTCTCTTCTCCATTCACACCTCTACCCAGATGCCTGTGTGCCTGCACACCCACATACATACATGTGCACACGCACACACAAGGGAAGTCGGCTCTTAAAGACCACGCCCTTGAAATGCTTCCAACTTCTTCACGAGGCACCTAGTGACATCATCCAGGGTGTTGGTCCTGCCTGCCTGGGGCACTTTGGAAGGGAGGGCAGGAAGACAGTGTTCCTTGAGACAAGAGGGCCTGACCCTTCTTCCAAGTCAAACCCAAGAGTGGACAGGATCTCACTGTCAATGAAGAGACCTTGACACCTAGACAACTCATTTCTCAAATCAGTGCATAACGGCTTTGGGTTCCAAAGAGATATGAACTTATTTTCCAGGCACCCTGAAATCCATTGCTATTGCTCATGTTTTCACGCACAATGGATCAGATCACACACTTTAAGCCACAAATATGCAAAAACTATGTTGAACCAAATTTAATACGCTTAGCTCATGACAGAAAACAGGCCTTGCCAAAATACACAGATGTCAGTACATCCCCTAAAACCTCTTCTTTTCTTTGTCTTTTCCAGTTATCACTGAAACAGTAACTACAAGACTTACCTCCTTACCACCAAGTAAGTAACTATCTCATAGCTTTCTTCTCAGCAGGTCATGTGTGAAGGCCCCGTATGGTAACCTTGAACCTGGAAGCTCACTCTTCAATGAACATATCCCAAATATCTAAGAATTTTTCCCCCTTAACAGCTATATTAATGTTGATATGTGGACCACAAAACCAATCAGTTTGAAGTGTGTGGTTCACCAGCCGTTAGTATATTTACAGAGTTGTGCAGCCATTGCTACAGTCTAATTTTAGAACATTTCCATCACGCTCCAATAAAAACCCTCATGACCATTAGCAGTCACTCCCCATTCTCCTCCTCTTCTCTTCTAGCTCCCAGAAACCACAAATCAACTTTTGGTCTCTACAGAGTTGCCTGCTATAGACAATAAAATATCAGAAATCCCATCTACCTGAGCATTGAGTAGCTTGACACCTCTCAAACTTCCATTGGACTTTTCTTTTTTCCCAGGAGCTCCTTGGGTTTAGTAGATTCTGTAATAGAGATAGGGCCCCAAGCTAGCCGGGATGGGGAGAGGCTGCCCCTCAGCAGGGGAGGCCAGAGCAAAGATGGGCTGCCAGATGGAACTGAGCGCTGCCATATGTCCCTCCAGCACTTCTGGCAGCCGCTCTGTCTGGACCTCGACCAGGCATTTGAAAAGAGCAAGCCCAACCAGGGCCTGGGCTCAAGGAGCCTGTCCTCCTCAGCTGCTTTGTCCTACTGAGAAACTTGCTGTGCTCCATCCAGAAAGCTTTACTTTCACATTCTGAGGAACATGCACTGCAGCTTTTGGTACCCAAACAAGCTGGAGCTGGGTAGCTTGCACCTTGTGGTGTAGGTGGGAGAAGAACTCAGCCAGGAGGGTGCTGGTGAGGTGCAAAGGAAGGCTTCCAGAGGGCAGGGATGCTGGCACCCTGACTCCACCCTGAAACTCTCATCTGGTTTTTGGTTCCGGCAGAAGGGGGAACCAGCAATGGCTACACCAAAACAGGCTCTCTGGGTGGAGGGAGCCGGCTGGAGAAGCAAAGCCTGACCCATGGCAGCAGTGGCTACATAAACTCAAGTAAGTGCCTGCAGGTGCCAGGACTGGGGGAAGAGCAGGGGACAGGGACAGGGAAGGGGCCACCAACAAAGACCAATGAAGGAGTCAGGCAGATGGGATTCTGAATCAGTCCATGAGAGGGACAATTACAGCTACTTTTCATCCATTCCAAATGTCCCAAAGAGTTATCTAAATGACCCAGGACCCAGGGAAGTTGCCACATTTATATCATCCACATTCAAAGCCCACTTAAACTGGATCCATTTGAATAAAGTCCCAATATAAATAACTATCATTAATTCAGAAGACTTTGGAGATAGGTGGCTGTTTTCTTAATCAGTCACTTTAAGCCACCTCTTTGAGGGAAGGTGTGCACATCCAGGGTTCACAATTTGAGTTACCAACAGCAACAACCAGAGAAACTCCATGATTGGGTTAGTGAGCTAAGAGAATCCGGTGACATGTAATTCCACACTGTGCAAGGTCCCCCTGGGCAAGCATCCAACACAGGCCCATTGTTCCCTGTGAAGCTCTCTTTCAAAGGAAAGCAAAACAAAGCAGAGCAAGGCAAAATAAAACAAAAAGGAGTGCACACAACCCTTGAAGCACTGAAGATATCCTATAGTGAAACTACAAAGAAAACCCAAGGTGAAGAACCCACTCTACCTGAGGAGGGTCGCTCCACCGTGGAGAACATTCTAAGCCATCGTGCAGGGCTCCTTGATTAAACATCAGGTGCTAGTCCTGGCCGTTTCTGTGCACTGTCATTAGTCCCACGAGGGAAAGGCAGTGGCAATGATCCTGCCTTCCCACTTCTGAGCAGCCCCCTCTCTCACCTGTGGTCTGCTGGGGTCCCCTGTGCCTCCTGCAGGGCCCTCCCTTAGTTGTGAGCTCCTGAGTGCTCCTGGCTAACGTCAGCTCATCTCTGCCGAAGGCCCATGAGGACCTACCCTTGTCCCCCGATTGCAGGTGGAAGCCTCAGGGGCAATGCCTCTACCTCCAGTTACAGGAGGGCACATTCGCCCGCCTCCACTCTGCCCAACTCACCAGGCTCCACCTTCGAGAGGAAAACTCACATCACCCGCCATGGGACATACGAAGGTATCAGCCCCCAGACTGCAGGAGAGAACCTCCTTCCTGCCTGTGACACCTCGCTTGTCCTCTGAAGATGCGTGGATGGGCCCCTGGCTTCCCCTGTGTCTGCACCCCCCCCCCACCTTTCTTCTACTCCTTCCTCCTTGGTTTCCTTTTACTTGGCCATTACTTGGCCCACTTGGTCACTTTTTCAACTAGCACTTGATCATATATTTAGCATCGTGTGGAGCGCCTTTGTAGGTGTTCAGATGAATCAGACACGGATCTTGTCTTCAAGGAGTTTACATTCTGATAGATAAGATGACAGACTAAAAAGCTATATGGTGCAGAGTAGGAGGCAATTATCATCTTCAGCTGAGGAAATCAGGGAAGACTTTATGGAGGAGGTGACATCTGATTTGGGCCTGATGTGTAAGATTTTGGCCTCCAGAGATGGACAGCGGGGCAACCCAGGCAGAGGGAGCAGCGGCATAAGCACAGACAGGCAGGAGCATCCAAGGCCGACAGAGAAAGTGGCAGAGGCACTTATGAGAAGAAGAACAGGGCATCCGATTCAATGCTAGGATAAGATATTTAGACTCTATTCACACACAATGGGGAACCACGGAGGTTTTTATTTATTTATTTATTTATATTTTTATTTTATTATTTAGTACTAGGGATTTGACCCAGAGGTGCTTTACCACTGAGTTACATCCCCAGCCTTTTTATTTTGAGACAGGGTCTTGTTAAGTTGCTAAGGCTGGCCTCTCACTTGCAATCCTCCTGCCCCAGTCTCCCAAGTTCCTGGGATCACAAGTATGCACCGCCACACCTGGCTCCACATAGGTTTTTAAGCCAAATATTTGAGTTTTTGAGTCCATCATATTTGAGGTCCAAGACTAGAATTCTGTAAGAAATGTTGCAGAAAGAATTGGCAAGAAAGGGCTGAACACAGGTGACAGGTTAAAAGGAAAGCCACAATAGTCCAGTGGAGGGAAATGTGCAATTAGGTTGGTAACAGTGGGGGAAGGAGAGCTGGAGGTGACATGTATTAGACGTAGAATCGACAGGTTTGGCAGTTGATCAAACATAAGGAGAATAGAAGGCAGCAATATTGTTAGTGTTCCAAGCGCAAGTTGGGCTAATGGTGGTGCCAACAACTGAGACAGGGGAGTCCAGTGGAGGACCATCCTTGAGTGAATTCAGTTACTTGGTCTTAAAGAGGGCAGCAAGTAGGCAGTGGGCCTGGGACCTGAGCTCGGGGAAGAAGTCAGAGCCAGATACCCAGTCAGGAGGCATTCTCACAAAGAGGTTGGTGGAAGCTAGAAGACCGAAGGGTTTGCCAAGGAAGGGAGTATCAGAGCAGGAGGGAGCCGTGGAAGATAAAGCTGGAGGAAGAAGGCTGAGAGAGGAGGAAGAGTCGTGGACTCTAGTGGAGAGGCCAAGAACTTGCAGCAGCGCTGAAGAAATGCTCAGTGCTCAGCTCAGGGAGGAGTGTGGAAGAAGCTACCTGGGCTCCATGATAAGGCCGTTGGAGTCCTGGTCATCTGCAGGAACAGCTTCAGTGGGAAACCAACAAGCCAGTTGGGTTTAATAGTGAGAGCAGAGAGGTACCAGTGATGGAGAAGCAGGATTAAGGGACTGGGTATCCTAGTAAGTGATAGAAGTGGGCTGACACCCCAAACTGGGAGAAGTTGTGCCTCTGGATGGAGGATGAGAGCTGCAGGAGGGCGTTGGGAAGCCCCCCATCAGACACGGTGACTTGCATAGCCCAGTGCTTGCTGATCCAGGGCCTGAGCAGGGGCTTTTACTGTGCATTTGTGTAACAGGGTGTGCATTTCTTCACAAGTTCAGAGAGTTCTCTGGTGCTAAAGAATGTTTGCTTCATCAGAGGCAGGTCACTTGCTCTAGCATTGATACCAGGGCAGACTAAGTCATGCCATGATGACGTGACCAAAAAAAAAAAAAAAAAATGGAAAGGGAAGGGAAGGCAGGCCTACTTTCCTGTGTTCATACCCTCCCCCTTCTGAGTAGATCAGTGACCAGAGTATAGTGCTATGACCAAGTCCATGAGGGTCGTGTTCCGAATCATGGGCCTGCTCCGTGGATCATGGGAAATGACTGCTGAAGAGCACAGCCCACTCCCCCCCTGGAGCACCCTTGGCTATCGAGGTTCAGGAAGGAGTGGATGGCACCACCCACTCTCTGGGAAGCCTTAAGTGACCAAGTGGCTACTTTTACCAAGTCTTTCATTCCCTCTTTAGGGAGCTCCAGCGGAAACTCTTCTCCAGAGTACCCCCGGAAGGAATTTGGTATGTTCTCTCCTTATTTTCAAAAGAAATGTTCAAGAGGGCAAATGCCCAGGAGACAGGGTGGGAGCAGAGGACATCATGAACTAAACGACTTCTTCTAAAGGAGTTGACCTCAGCTGACCTGTTGTTCCCTTGTTCTTCATCCTGAAGCACCTTTAGAGGACTATCAGTCACATTACTTGCTGTCATAAGCATTTGCTCATGACAGCGTTAAAGTGTTTATACAAGGTTCATGGTTGGACAGATACTCCCTGAGGCCAAGCAGTAATTGTAGGGATTCTTCCTTCCATTACAGGCACAGAAAACTGCCAGCAGAGAGGAGCAGTGGTTACCATGCCCAATGCCCAACATCCCAGCCCCTCCATGACAGCCTAGTTCAAAGGGCCACATCACATGCCTAGTGACAACCTAGGCTGCACATAATCACTTGGCCTTGAGTCTTGGTTCATGTTCATGATATCTTATTGTGCAGTGAATTAGTGATATAAGCATTGATGATTCAGTGATTATCATTTTATTTATTTATTTACACTGGGGAAACAAAGGCAAGCTTTAGTGAGCAACTTAAAGGGACAGTATGGCAGCCTCTTAAAACATTTAATTGGTACAAGTGGATCATGCTCCCAGATAGAGTGACTTAGCTAACAACAGCTAATAGCTAATGGTAGTTAGTGTCAACTAACTCTAATTTTGTGTGTGTATTGGTGGGGGCAAGAGGTACCAGAGATGCAACCCAGGATCTCGTATATGTTAGGCAAGCACTTTCCCACTAATCTACATCCCCAGACCCCAGTGACTTCAACACCCTAAATGTGCTAGGGCATCACAAAATGTCCTCACCTATTGAGCATTCACTATCCGGAAGAGCCCCTGTCTGGATATTAGACACACTATGAAACTACCTCCATGACAAAAGTATTCTGCATGCCACTCCTTACATATGCTTAAGATGACATTTCTCTGTTTCTCAGCATCATCTTCAACTCGAGGACGGAGCCAAACACGAGGTGAGTGCTATCCCTGGCTTCAGTTCATTTATTCGAGGAGCTTTTTCTGAGCAGCTAACATGGGCCAGCCTGGAGCCAGGCAGGGTGAGGCAAACAGGAGAATAAGGGATGGTTTCTGCTGTCCAGTTAACACCGTAGGTTTTAGATTTCTCTCACCAATGCCTGAGAGACCACAGAGAAAGGAGGGAAGCTTGGTCTGGCCATTGCGAAATGGAGAGGGGGAAGGGCATGGTTGGCGCTGAGTGCAACAGAGCTTGCTTGCTTAGACAGCGGTCTCTGGAGGAGGTCTCCATGTGCCTGGGGGTGTGCAGTTGGCAGGTGAAGTGAGTAGAGGGATGTCCTCTTTTGAGCAGCATTCTTTTTGGGAAACTTAGGTTTCCCAATCCCAAGACTTAGAAATCTCACAATAGCCCACAGATGCACCCACTGCTCAGAGCTCAGCTTCAGGGCCTATGATCCTGGTTCCTTCCCTCACAGCCTCTCCGTCTCTTCTCTTGTACAGAGAGTGAGATTCGAGTTCGACTGCAGAGTGCGTCCCCATCTACCAGATGTAAGTGACACTATCTTGCTGCAAAGGATCCAGGAAGCCTTGAAATTCAATTACATGTGAATTTAGCATAATGTCACATTGTGGGCTAGTGCTGAATGTGTGTGTGTGCTCATGAGCATGCCCTCAATCATAAAACATCTGTAAAGGCCTTCTGGGGGTTGGGCTCTGGGCCAGGTATTGGGGTTAAGTTGCTAAGTAAATTATGGTCCCTGCTGTTTAATTGTTCGCAGACTAAAGGGGACATAGTAGACCAGCCAGTCATCACTGCTTAGTGTGGCCAGGGAGCAGGGAAGAGCTGCTCCACATCAGCCCAGGGGGCGGGCACGGGTGCCAGCAGCCAGAGAGGCCTTCCTGGGTTAAGTGTCCCTTAAGGGAGACTAAAGTGGATCAGAGTTAAGATTAGAGGATGGGGCCAGCATGAGACATCCAAGGAACATCTCAGTCTGGTGACATAATGGCAGAGTTCAGGTTAGGGAAGGGTCAGAAGTATACGGGCTTGAACTTCATCTCAAAGATCAGACATTCCCCACTCTCTGCATTGGGTCATTAGACTCCTGTGGCTGTTGCTAGAGGGTATTTGACAACATTTTGAAATGAACCCAACTTTTAGGGCAGGAGCCAAATAAAAGGAATAAAAGAAGGAAGAGCTGAGATGATGGTTTAGGTCACAGACAGGGGGGTTGCCCGCAGAATTTAGCAGCTGGGGTCAGGGGCACTAACTCCAGGCCTGATGCTTTGTCACAAATCCTTCCAGGCATGGGGTGTTGAGCTGAAAGGATGAAACTTTCCAGGCCAGGGAGGGAGGCTGGGCCCCAGCACCTATTGTCTCTTCCTATGCGCTACCTTTGTGTGATGTCTCCCTTCTCTCCTGTCTTCCACTTTGGGAGGAGGTCCGAGGAGCTGGCTCCATTGGTTTACCTTGCTACAAAAAACATCATCCAGACAGACTTGAAATTAGGTCACACATAAATGCAGCACAATGTTTTAAGATTTCTGGGCCACAAATTCCTTTTGACACTCCCAGACATACAAGGTCAGGACCTGACATCTGAGGTATCTTGAGCAGAGGAGGGAATTACTGTTTGTTTCAAAGGAACGATCTAATTAAGGGTAGAACAATCTGATCTGATCTAAAGTTCTCTATCTGCCTGATCCAAGATGACCATGTCCTCCAGCTACAGAGTCACCCCGAGGTGTCCCATGAGGTCTAATTAGAAAATATCTCCCCAGGATGCTGATCTCTTATGAGAGGCACTGTATTTATGAGATTATTGATATTACAAATGGCCAGGTTGATAAATCCTGTAAATTGGGAATATGCAAAAATTATAAAGCTAACCCAAGTCCTAGTGTGTGAAGCAGATGTCCTCAAAGTTCCTCCCACTGCAGTTGGACACAGGAAAGAATCCTGGGCCTAAGGATTGACTTTGGGATTCTTGTCCAGGGACAGAATTGGATGATGTGAAGCGTTTGCTCAAGGGGAGCCGATCAGCAAGTGTCAGTCCCACCCGCAACTCCTCCAGCACTCTCCCCATCCCCAAGAAAGGCACCGTGGAAACCAAAATGGTGACAGCAAGCTCCCAGTCAGGTAAGCATGACAGCCCCCAGGCTGCCATGAGGGATGGGAACATGGCAGCAGGTTTATTCTGGCTGGAGAATTTCACTGTGCTCTGGCTCAGACTTTTCTGACATTTCCAAAAACCCGGCTCCTCCAGCCGTGTGAATTTGTGGGCCACACATTTCTTACCAGACTGTTCAGCCATCCCACAGTCACCCAGTGGCCCAGTTCTAGATCCTAGAGATTGTCCCCCAGAAGGTTCCCACATTGAATGTGTTGACCAGGTTCCCCCAGTGAAGAGAACTGGGGAAAGTTGCAGTGTCTTCATTCATTCTCTAGTGACGATTTATTATATGCCTCCTCTGTGCCAAGTGCCAGGCATTGAGGAAAAGCACGAAATGAGAGAGACATAGCCACTGTCCTTGTGGAGATGAAAGTCTCTTGGGGAAGTCAAAGAGGAAACAAGCTGTCCCCAAGTGTTTAGCAAGGAGTGCAAGGGAGGTTCTACAGGTAACAGGGAGACAAATGAGCAGGTCTTTGGAGGGAGGTGAGGAAAGAAGCCAAGTCAGCTCCAACAGGAAGCTTTCCTCTCATTTACTCCTGGGCAATAAAAGCCTGGAGACCCTGACCTTGCTCAGATTTTTCCTAAAGGAGCAAGCCTCGGGTACTCCATGACCTGGCTGACTAGCTCGCTCTCAAAGAATGATGAGGCAGAACCGGCATCAAATTTAAAGAAACAGAAAAAGGCTTATCAGGGCCAGTACTTGCAGATCTGGTTTGCACACAGGAATATATAAGGAGAATTTGACCAGAGAAGTTCACCACCTTGCAGTGTGTCCTCAGACCTGAGGGCTCCCCGGCCAGACATACTGCACCCTTGCCGTGGTGCCTGGAGGTCTACTGAGATTAGCTTTGAGGGTCTTATTTTTTGCTCCTAAGGGAATGGCTCCCTGCCATCTTTGAAGATGAAGGAGCCAGCAAAGGACCGATAGGCAGATCATTGGTGCAGACAGCCCACCAGGAGGTGAGGAACAGGGTTTAGGAGAAAGGAGTAGACCCTAAGGAAAAATCAATCTTCATATTTCACTAAGAGCTGGCAAGAATTTCTAATCAAAAACACCAAGTTTTTATCAACTTTGAGATTTCAGTCAAAAGTAGCCCCAGACTGCTCTGAACTGAGGGAGCTCCTATGGGACCCTCAGTGCTAAACCCAGGAAAGTCCCAGGAAGCAGAGCCAGCTAAGTCCCACGGTAGGGAAATATTTATTTGTCTGTCACTGGAGCAAGTGTGTTTTTTTGCTCCCAGTGTCAGGGACCTACGACACAACGATCCTGGATGCCAACCTTCCTTCCCATATGTGGTCCTCTACTTTGCCTGCGGGGTCCTCCATGGGGACCTACCACAACAACATGACAACCCAGAGCTCATCTCTCCTCAACACCAATGCCTACTCAGCAGGATCAGGTAAGTGGCAGCTGTGCTCACTGCTCTCATCCACAAAAATCACAATCGTCCCACCTCTACCCTGGAGCTGAATGACTCCTCGGGTATCTGCCATCCTAGGGCTCCTGAGAGGTTTCTAGAACCAAGTGTCTCAAGAGTTTCTCACTGGAACTTAAGTTCAATTCAGTCTAGAAGGTATTTCTCCTGCTGAGCCCCTAGTAGAGAGGAATATACAGTATAAGATATCAGAAAAAATATATAAGGATAAAGGTTATAAAAAATGGATGCAGGAGAATTGCATCACTCCATGCAAATTGACTCTGGGATCTTGAGCAGTCATTTAACTTCTTTGAGTTTCAGAGACCTTCTCTGTAAGATTGGGTCACTAACAGGAAAGACTTTGGCTGAATCCACTGTCCACTACTGACTGATCACCTGTTGACTAGAACCCAACAAACACCATAGGCTAATGTTTGGTTCTCTGCTGGAAGGCAAGAGAACTGAATATTAAAGTTTTTCCTAAAAATCCAATCCTGGCATTTCTGCTGGTATTGCCACAGTATCCAAGTCTCTGCCTCTGCTCTGGGTTGAACATCCCTCTCCCCCACCTCTCCCTCTCCCCATTACAGTCTTTGGAGTTCCAAATAACATGACATCCTGCTCTTCCACCCTGCACCCAGGACTCAGCACCTGCTCCTCAGGTCAGTGTCACCATCTTTTTTTTTTTTTTTAAACATCAGAAATTTATTAGTTGCTCAAAACATTACATCGATCTTGACATATCATATATCTTACATTTGTTTCAAATGGGGTATGAATTCTTATTATTCCCAGGAGTACAGATTGCAGGATCACATTGATTATACAGCCACATTTATACATACTGCCATACTAGTGTCTGTAGTGTCACCATCTTGAATCACCTTTTCCTAGCTATTGACTTTAAAATATAAGAATGTTCTTTCCTGAGGAAAGTAGAACAATTTCTAGAGAGGATGTCCTTTCTGCCCATGAGCACGAAGGACTTTTCTCCATGCATTCTGTGACCCATAGCAGCGACCGCAACTGCTTTTAGAAGCTCAATTGCAGATAAAGCTCAGGATCCCAAGGAGAAGTTCTAAGGGAAGGGGGCCCAAGTCCATGCGGATGTGCTTATTCTGTGCTGATCCTTTATTTTCTGGGAGAGTTGGTGAAATGGAAAAAAATGGACTTAGTGAGTCATAGCTTCGGACATTTTCAGGGTGAAAAGCATTTTTTTTGTTAATTTAGAGGATCTTATTTTAGATCTTTTAAAAAATATGGTAGTTCAGGGCTGGGATTGTGGCTCAATGGTAGAGCTCTCGCCCAACACGTGTGAGGCTCTGGGTTCAATCCTGTGCCACATAAAAATAAACAAATAAAAAAAAGATATAAAAAAAAGCTTTAAAAGATATGGTAGTACATCAAAAGAACCACACTATGGTAAATAATGTTACTACTTAGTTTCCAATGCAAGCATATGACAATTTTAAAGAAACATTTGTTTTCACATGTATCATAATAATCCATATGGTAATAAGTTGCCAGTCTTACCTTTTTGAAAACAATCTGCCTTCTTCCTGTGATATTGCTGCTAATAAACATAATGACAGGTCTTCTTTACTTACTTAGCTGGTATAGCTACAAGTGCAAATTTAACAATCAGATTTCCAATAACTCCAGTTGACTGGAATCCCTCCAAAGTCAGAAGACCCCAGTTTCATGCTTTTTCCCCCCTTTTCTACCTTTGTATTTTGTTTTCCAAACACTTGACTGAGCCAGGCCCCCAGGTAATATTGGATCCATGATCCTGAGCCCCAAACTCTAGATAGGATGAAGGAACAGAAGCTATGACTAGGGAGGAGTGGGCTTCTGGACATTGGCCTTGGAAGTCCTAATGGGGGTGAGAGGAGTTCCATGGGTTTGAGTCAGGAAAAGAAAGAGCTGAAGGGAAAATGAAGAGCCTTTCACATAGTGTCTCTCAGAGCCACTGTCTGCATCCCATGTCCTCGGCATCCCACACTGTGTACCACGTCACCCCAGGGTGCTACAGGGAACAGAAAACCCTAGGGATATTTTAGGATTTTGAGAAACACAGCAACATTGAACCCTGTGTGAACTACTACTGTTAAATTGTGTGGACCTAAGTACTCAGCAAATGGGACTGTAGCGAAATTTGCCTTGGAGTGGGGAGGTGGGAATATTAAAAATATATATATATATATTGTCACTAAGAATAAGGTGAGGGATTCAAGAAGGTTTGAGAATCTGTCATCTGCAAAGGTAAGTGTCTTGAAAATGTTTAGGGGCTGGCATTGTGGCTCAGTGTAGAGCACTCACCTAGCATGGGTGAGGCACTGGATTTGATCCTCAGCACCACATAAAAATGAATAAATAAAATAAAGGTATTGTGTCCATCTATATATAAAAAAGAAAAGAAAAGAAAAAGAGAAGAAAAGAAACTGTTTGGGGGGTTCCAGGAGGCTGCCGCAGCGGGGGACATCCTCTGTGCACTCTGGTCTGACCTGTTCTCAATCCCTCTCACAGTGTTTGGCATGCAGAACAATCTGGGCCCCAGTTCGTCTGCTCTGTCCCACAGCACGGCCACTGCCACCACTTCCACAGGTTCGTAGTAGCTGAGGCTTGGAGCTCAGGAGTGGGGTCATGACATCTCTTTAAGGCTACAGTTCACATATCCCTTTTCAAAAACTGAATTTGAAGGACCAAAGGGCCTCTGCAAAGCAACTGACCTTTCCCCAAATGGCCCCTCCCCAACTTAGAGTTGTCAATCTTGCTCATTTACTGGCTGAGACATGAGTTCAACATACAGGGCAGCCTACCTTGTGACATGTCACCTGTATACCCCGTGTATCTCACAGCCCAGTGGGTCAGGTCCCTGCTCCCTGCCCACTCCTTGGCAGTCCACTGTCCCTACAAATCAATCAGCTAGTTTATTTTATGGTGCACCCCCCAGGTTGCTGACCCTGTGCAAACCTGCAGGGAGGGAGTAAAAACAAAAATGATGTAAGACTCAGCCTTGATTTCAACTTGCCTGCTGTTCAGTTAGAGTGGAAAGTTCAGCACACGGGAAAGGAAAGGGGGATCCTGTGAACAGCAGGAACTAAGTAATGTATAGCACAAAATAGGGGTGCAGAAGGAAAGAGGCAGAGGACTTCCTGGAGGAGGTGGCCTTTAAAACACCCTAGAAGGATAAGGAAGATTGTACCCAGGAACATTCCATCTAAACCCTCCTTGCTTCTCTGTGGCTGGAGAGGGTTGATTTCACAGCTGCTGATCTCCCTGGGGAGGCTGCCTCTTGCCAGGGCTGATCAGGCTGCTCTTGAGTGGCAGGACCCATCCTCCCACGCTGGCCCAGATCATCAGTGGTCCCTTTTTTGCAGCGTATGGTGTGAAGAAAAACGTGCCCCAGAGCCCTGCCGTCGTGAGCACCGGTGTATCCACCACCTCTACAGGTGAGAGCTGTTTCTAGCTGTCACAAGTCAGGCTGGCACATGGAGAGAACTGCCCAACTGTGACATGCAACGTATAATACAAGAGGATAGAGTCCCTGGGTGTCCTGAGGTCCACAAACACAACCCCCCCATGGATGTTTCCATGAGATTCAGATTCAGAGATGAGCATTCCTGCGTTTGACTGGGGCTGCCTGTCCCAGGAACAGGAAGATCCGTGCTCCACAGCTGCTTAGGGTCTGGCATCACCCTTGCCTGGAAGCCCTTGGCCTTTTCCTGTTACCTGTAACCATTATAAGACCCAGGAGCCCCTCGGAAGCTGCCAGCATCCTCTCCACTTCCTCTAGAACCGTTATCAACATGGGCTCCCACCATTGTTGTGGTCCTGGTTCATCTCCTCCCATTCAGAAACCCAGAACTGCACACATGCTAGGCGAGCGCTCTACCACTGAGCTACATCCACAGCCTTCGTTATTATCTTTTGAGACTGGGTCTCGCTAAGTTGCTGAGGCTGGCCTTAAACATGCTACCCTTTTGCCTCAGCCTCCTGAGTAGCTGGGGTTATAGGCATGTGCCACCACACCTGGCTAACATTCTTTTTTTTAAAAAAAAAAATATTTATTGAGCACCTCCTTTGTTTCAGACAGACACTATACTAGGTGCTGGGAGAGACAGTAAGCTGGCAACTTTGGTGGAGTGAACAGATGACAAACACAAAGACAAAGTATACAAGATAATTGGAGAAAATGACACAGATTTTAAGAAAACAATGAGTCACGTGGGAGAGATGGTGAGGGTGGAATGCTTTAGATGCAGTGGTAATGAAAAGCCTCCCTAGGAGGGTAAGACAAGCCTTCCATGCTTGTTAAGGAAGGACCTGCCTGACAAGGGGGACTGTATGGTGAGGCAGCTGCATTGACCAGTCACCCAGTACTTCTGTCATTGACCCAACCTCCTGATGGCCAGGCCCAGCCAGGCAGGGAGGGGTGCTTTGATCCCAGAATGCTTCATAGCACCACAGTCAGTGAGATCGGGAGGCTCTACGTGCACTTGCTAATCTCTTTCTTCTGCTGCCTTCTTCTTTCCTCCTCCCTCCCTCGATCGCTTCTTTCTTCTCCTTTCTCCTGGCTTCTTCCCTCCCCAGCCTCTACCACCAATGTCCAGAGTGATGACCTCTTGCACAAGGACTGCAAGTTCCTGATCCTGGAGAAAGACAATGTGCCTGCCAAGAAGGAGATGGAGCTGCTGATCATGACCAAGGACAGCGGGAAGGTCTTCACGGCCTCCCCTGCCAGCATCGCTGCAAGTACGCCAGGGACCCCCACCCCCACCCCCCACAACTGGGGCTACAGGAGAAAGGCAAATGGTGTAGGAAATGGTGTCCTAGCAAGGTGGTTTCAGACAATGTAATCATGAAGCCACGGTTTTCCCATTCTAATGAAAAATGTCTGCCTGAATGGAGCCTCCCAGGGTCTCCTTGAATGCCAACCAATGAGCCAGGAAAATTCAGGCAGAGCTCCCAGAGGGGTCCTTGGACCACTTCAACTCTCACAAGCACAAATGGGGGAAGTTAGCCCCAGGAAAGCTGGGCTCTCTTCACCAGGGTACCCTTGACCTCCCCAAGCAGCAAGGAGATGTGCAACAGGCCGGGAGGGGTGGAGAGAGAATACTCCAGATTGTCAGGGGTTCTGCGCACAGCTTCTTTTTCAGAAGACACCCTGAAAAAAGAAAAGCAGGCTGCCTACGCTGCTGACACTTGCCTGAAAGCAGAAACTAATGGTAAGAACCAACATGACTGCTGTTCCCATTGACTTGAGTCAAGCCACAGTTCATTTTTCTTAGTCTTCTGAGACTTTGATACTCAAAAGGGGGCTCCAGGAACCAGCAATTGGCAGTACCTGGGAGCATGTTAGAAATACAAGTAAGACCTTGATACTCAAAGTGTGGATGTTGGAAATGCAAGTGAGACCTTGATACGCAAAGTGTGGTCTGGGGACCAGCAATACCTGGGAGCACGTTAGAAATGCAAAATTAAGCTCCGCCCCCCTGCACTGTGTGGGAAGCTGCATATTAACGAGTTCCCCAGGTGGTATATATGTGACATTGAAGAAAAGCCCTTCCCTGGCTTGTTACATGGGTATTTTTTCTCACCTTATTAGTTCTCCCATGATTTTCAGAACTGATCAAAAAATGCTTTGTAAAGCCTTGGTTATCATCTTCTCCTTTTTCACGTTCTCCTTCTTCCTTCCCTAATATCTGAATTCTTTCTTGGGTCTCCACATTTCTTCGCAAAGTCCTGTAAAATCTCACCAAACCACTGATTTTAGGGAATTCAGCAAAGAAAGGGAAAGTTAAGCCATGGAGCATTTTAAAATTTTTATTTTATTTAGCCATAGAGCATTTTAAAATAAAGTAAAATAAGACAGCTACCATCCCAACAGGGCAGGAGACTAACCTGACTCAGTCAGCAAGGTTAGTAATTCCTCATTTTTTTAAGGGTGGAGCTAGGCTGTGAAGCCAAAAGACCCTTTCCAGAATCTGATGAAAACTATGCGCAAATTCCCCGGAAATTCCACACATGCTCACAGTAACAACAGAGACTCACACACAACCCTCCTCCAAGCCTGTCCTTGCTGGATTTCCCAGTTCACACTCCAACGTCCCAACCTGTGCACCTGTGCTCAGAGTCCCTTAGCCAAGATATCAGAGTAGGGATGGGGGTGTAGCTCAGTGGTAGAGTACATGCTTAACAGAGTCCTGAGTTCAAGCTCCAGCACCAAAAAGAAAAAGAAATCAGTCATGTCCCATGAGCACATTTATTTTTTTGAATAAACAAAGATCTTCCAAAAAATGTGTTGAGGTTTAGGGTTTAAGGTTGTAAGAGAGTTAAACACTATCCATTCTTCCACCATTACGTGCTTGGCCAAGCCATGCCTTCATCAGTATATTTTTGTAAATATCAGCCTCCTGAGGACTGAGTTGCTAGATGTCCCTAACGTTGCTGTTCTGCGAGGTGCCTGAGTGGCCGATTGACCTAACGTCCTAAACCTCACAATGGGCAGCCTATGGGCTCCTCCAGTTTAAAAGCTCAGGTCTGAACTTGTGTTTGTCTTTTTAGGAGACTTGAAGACCATATCCACAAAGGGCAAGGGCACCTCCGCAGGTGGGTGAGAGTTGGGGACCCTGCAGGGACAGGATCCAAGGGCTGGTTATACTTGGTCAAACAGATTATGGCCCTTGCCTGGAGCCAACACACACTTGAGCCACCCAACTCAGGCTCCCTGTGGGCACATAAGGGCAGGAATAGGGTAAAGGTGGGAGTGGGCAGGCTGTGGGCTGGTGGTGGCCTCAGAAGGAATGTAGCCCAGGGGATGTTGCTTTGCAGACCCCACCACCCCTAACTGGCAGCCACTATAAGACCTAAGGTCCAGGGTCTCCAACCAGGGCAGGAGCAACATGATGGGGCTACTCTGGGTTTCTCCAGAACCTCCCATGTGGGCCCAGGAGGACACTAAGCCAAGCACACTCCTGCCCCCTACCATTTTTTTTTTACCTCCTATCCTCACCTTATGTAGGAGCACACTGAGTCTTACCTCCCCAGAAGTTAGAGAACTATAAACCCTGAAAAAAATGTTTAGGTTTACTGGACTGAATGTAACTCTAGGCACTGTGGAGCTCACAAAGAGCGGGCTGTGTCCAGTGGTCCTGGAGATGGGGGAGCTTTAGATTCAGGCCTAATAAAATGCAGGAGGTTGTGGCTTTGAGCTGCATCTCTGCTAATTTTTTTTTTTTTTTTCTGATTTCTTTTTGACCCTTATCTCATCTTACTCAACAACTGTCTGATGAAGTAGGGAATCTTTTAACTCCATTTTATAAAGAGGAAACAGAAAGGTTAAGTGACCTTCTCAGGGTCACACAGCTCTAGCCCAGCATTGTCAGACTTCCGCTCCTCACCAGCCATGGCCCTGTGTTAACATGGAGTTGCCCAGGAACTTTGAAGTCCCTACTCCCACTCAGGCCCACAGGAAGTCACCAAAAGCTAGAGAATTTTGAGGGAAAACAACAGGAGCTGCCTGCATTCACCCCACCTTCCCTGTCTCTTCCACAGATCTCCATGGCTATGACAGAGGCGGCGGTGTTGGTGGAGGTGGAGGCGGTGGTGGTGGGGGACTGTGGGGGGGTGCACCTGCCTGGTGCCCCTGCGGTTCCTGCTGCAGCTGGTGGAAATGGCTGCTGGGCCTGCTGCTCACCTGGCTGCTGCTCCTGGGACTACTCTTTGGCCTCATTGCTCTGGGTATGTGCAAAGGCCTAGGGGCAGGATGCAGGGTGGCCCCCAAGTCCCGCCACCCCTTCAGAAGGACAAGCATCAGAGAGTGGCCCTGAGTGTCAGGTCCAAGAGGCTTGAGATCATAGGCGCAGACCTGGTGTTCCTGCAGATGAGGACACTGAGCCCCAGGAGGCACCTGGCCATGGTCATGTGGCCAGTGAGCTCCTGGTCCCTCCCCACCCTCCCTGGACCCGTGGCAGCCTGCTGTGTGCATTTGGCTGCCCCTCACAATAAGGTCATGTCTTCTCATTGCCACCTTTTCCCAGCACCTATGGCTGTGTTCCTGCCATCTCTCACTCCCCCTCACAGGAGAAGAGAGGGCAAGCTTTGGCACCCAGCTCAGGCGACAGGCCAGGTTTCTGTACGGCTCCGGGAGGATGCTGAGGAGCTCATCCTCCTGTGGCCTCCACAGATTGTCTCTGCATAAGTAGTTCAGCAACTTGTGCCTAGCAGAATGAAGCAGCCCGTGGCTGGCTCCCCACGCGGAGGCTCAGCGAGGCAGGCACTGGGGAGAGCCCTTGCTGATGTCGCCTGTGTCTGTCCCTTCCAGCGGAGGAGGTGAAGAAGCTGAAAGCCCGTGTGGACGAGCTGGAGAGGACCAGGACCGGTGTGCTCTATTATGAGGACAAGATGGACAGGAGCAACAAGGACCGCCTGCAGGGAGCCGCGCCCGACCTGGGTACTGGCATAGACAAAGCAGGACTGGACATCCCCAGCCAGGAGGCACTCTGGCTCTTCGTGAGGAACAAGCTGATGATTGAGCAGGAAAATGGTGAGAGTTCAGCCAGTGCAGGGCCAGCTCAGCTGAGTCTCTTGCTGCTTTGTGTGGGTGGGGGGGGGCCCCCCCAGGGCTACCACTCAGCAGGCTCTCAGTCTCTCTCTCCCCACACCTCTCCATATCGCTAAGAGGCAGGTGGTACCAGGACTGGGATCCCATCTTACAGATGGAAAAACTGAGTCCTAAAGAGGAGAATTGACCGAGATCACTAAACCCGGTGTTAATTCTGACTCCTCAGCTAGCTTTGGTTTCTTCCCGCCGCCCATGACCCCCTCTTATGTGCAAATGAAGGACATAGGAGATGTGACACTCACTCAGGATTTACTTTCTCTCGTAGGAAACCTCCGAGGAAGCCCTGGCCCTAAAGGTATTGCAGTGGACCCAGCCTTTCCCTGCTCTCATTCCTGCAGGTGGATTCTCTGGGTGGATTATTTTGTCCTTTTTCCAAACATGAAGACGAGGTGCTGACCCCCTTGTGGTTCCGTTGGGAGGGCTGAGAACTGTCTTTAGAGTCAGAAGATCTTAGCGTGGGAAGCAACCTGCACAGCCTGTAGGAGAGTTCTGGCACTGTACCAAGGGACACAGATGGAGACGGAGGGACAGATGGAGACTGCCATCCCATTGCCTTGACATATGGCTTCCATATTGTCAAACGGCTGTGAAGTACCAGGGAGAGAATGGCCCTTGGTTCCTACCAATCTCACAGTTTTCATGCCTTTCTCATTTTAGGCGACATGGGAAGTCAAGGCCCTAAAGGTAAATCTCACATGGACATTTTCACCTTTATTATTAGTGAGGGTTAATGGTTTAAAGCAATCAGCATGGGTCAGAAAACCCCCTTCATAACGAGAAAAGTGACTGACATTCCATGGGACAACTGCACAGTGAGGAGGAGGAGGTTTCCAATCCGGGTGACCCTCACAGGGTAGAGTAGCTTTCCTTGATCCTCTGACTGGGGCTGATAAACTTCTGTGTGTTTGGAAATTGCCACAAGATTGCTGGCCCCACTCCCAGAGTCTTAGCAGGTGTGGATGGGGTGAGCAGTCTTCAGTCTGCAGCCAGGGGTGCAGTCAATGCTGAGGACCACCACTCAAGAGGACAGGGCCACCCTTTGTCCCCAGATCAATCTTGCTTCCCAATAGACCTGAGTGCAGGAATGGGGCTCCTCCACTTAGTAGCCCTCTCCCTCTCCCTACCCCCTCGTGACTCCCTGCCCGCCCTCCCCATATACCCTGGCTCCCCCGCCCCCTTCCCCCCTACCAACCCTGATGGGGATAAGTGGGGACTGGTGGTTCCAGAGCCCCTCAACCTGCAATGACCAGGTAAAACACTGGACTCCAGGTACATTTGAAGTGCAGATAAATGATAATTTTTTACTCAAAGTGTGTCCCGTGGATCTTAAGGGACATACTAGCACTAAAACTTTATATGTTGTTTATCTGCAATTCAAGCAGAACTAGACATGTGTACTTACATTTGCTAACTTTGGCAATTCCATCTGAATCCCCCCAGGGGCTCCTTTCAGGTCCTCTGACTGACATCCCTTTACCTTTGTTTCTGCAGGAGATCGAGGTCTCCCTGGGACTCCAGGTGTGTAACCTTCCATGACCTCCCTCTGGCCCTGGGGGTGTTAGTGCTGCTATCTCCCAGCTGCCTGCTTCCAAAGGACATGGGGGCTGAGGTCTTCTTGTGTATCTACAGGTATCCCTGGGCTCTTGGGCCACCCAGGTCCAGAAGGACCAAAGGGACAAAAAGGCAGCGTGGGTAAGAGCCTCTTTTTCTATTCATTCATTTGGGAAACATTCATTAAATGCCTGCTGTGTTCCTGGCCCAGTTTCAGGGAACATCAGTTAACACAGAAGAGAGGCCCCTGCAGCTGTGTCACTTCCATTTGGGTGGGGGGAGACAATAAGCAGGGTAGGGGGCCAGTGTGAAGTGGGAAAGACTGAACTGGAGGAGGCTGGGAGTCAGGGCTGAGGGTGAGTTACATAGGGAGGTCAGGGAGCAAAGACTTGAAGAGAGAGGGAGCCAGGCGCCAGATCTGGGGAAGCATGTCAGGCAGGGGACAGCCAAGGCCAGTCCCAAGGGCAAGTTCAAGGAGCAGTTCAAAGAGCTCCAGGAGGCCAAAGAGATGTTGAGAAGAGTGTGCTGTTGGGGCCCTGAGACCAGCATAAGATGCCAGTCTTTCCCGGAGCGAGCTGAGAAGCCATGTGCAGGTTTGGGGCAGAGCTGGAACATAATCTACTCACATTTTAAAAGGTCACTCTGGCTTCTGGATTGAGCCAAGACTGCAGGGGCTAGTGGGGATCAGGGGCCAGGGAAGAGGCTCCAGGCCAGAGTTCTGTCAGTGAGAGGTGCCTCTGGGACCCACCCTAACTGTGACACTGGCCATTCCTAACTTTAGGAGATCCTGGCATGGAAGGACCCATGGGCCAGAGAGGGCGAGAGGGCCCCATGGGACCTCGTGGTGAACCAGGGCCTCCTGGGTTTGGAGAGAAAGGGGACAGAGGTAAGAGGCGATTCCTTCACGGGGAGGTTTCTGGTTTTGTTTGTTTGTAGTGGCTGGGGATAGAAACCAGGGCCTCAGGAGTGCCGGGCAAACATACCACAGCTAAGCCACACCCTCAGCCCCGGTCCTCCTTCTTTCCATCTGTCCCCTTTCCTCCTCCCTTCAGTTGAGCACTCTCCTTGAGCTGGGCCTGTGCCAGGCCCTCTGGAGACAGAAGACTAATCATGGGGCTTGAGAGAGGATATGGTCCAGGCCTAGGGCCTAGGAACAGCTGTGATTCCTGGAACCCAAAGAGGCCTCAGTGAAATGTCCTTCCAAGAGCAGGGTGGAGGGAGGAGGGAGGTCACGGTGGACAGCTGAGGGCAGGCTGGGCTTGTCAGACAGCACAGGGGGGTGGGGTTCAGCCCTGTCAGGGCTGGAACTCAGCAGGACAGAGGGCAGGAAAGCCCCAGGCATAGGCCCTGGGGAGCTTTTGTGATTTAGATCCTGAAACCTGAAGCTGTATTGATGTGGGGAAACCAAGACAGACCCTAGAAATCCTCTAATGCCCAAAGGCTAAGCAGGAAGACGTATTTTTTGTTTCACTCTCTCTTAAAAATGTTTCTCAACCAGACAAAGCCAATATTTTTGGAGTGCCTCCCAGGTGCCAGACTTCATGGAAAATTAAGGCTTGGGGGTAGAAACGGAAGGCATTTTTTCTGACTAGTGGCCTCAAAGAGGCACCAAATGGATCCTGGACAAATGGCAGGGAGGGAAGAGACACTGTGGACTGGGGGAGCAGCCGCCTCGGAGGAGGACTCTCTCAAAGTTCTTCTTCCTCCTTTTCTCCTCAGGAGCTACTGGTGAAGCTGGTCCTCAGGGCCCTCCTGGTGTCCCGGGTTCTGTGGGTCCAAAAGGTATGTCCGGTGCCCAGGACAGGATCCAAGCCAGGCCAGGGAGGAGCCACATCTAAGAGGATCACAGAGAAGCAGGCCCAGGGGTACCAGACAGAACTGGCCCCTGCCTAAGGCAAAAAAAAAAAGAAAAGAAAAGAAAGAAAAAGAGAGAGATGACAGAGTCCCTGAGGGTCAAGACTGGGCCTATAACTTTAGCCCCATAATGGGGTTGGAGCCACATTTTCTTCTCTCCAGTGGCCACCTTATGTGGTCCTTAAGCGGTAGATGGACCATGCAGGAAATCAGAAGTCAATTTTGTCCACTGACTGGGGCCCAGCTACACACATCAGAAACAGCACATCTGGACGACCCAGGGAGAATGGGCCCCTTCTCACAGTGTGATGCCTATCTGGCCACCTGCCCTCTAACTTTTGTCCCAGTTTAAATTTCTTACTCTGACCAGGAAGGAGCAAGGGTCCCTTGACACTCTCCACCCTGCCCACCTGCAGCCTCCTCCTAAGAAGGAGATTGCACTGGGATCCCTCCTGTACTGTCTTACGTGGGTCCTGGCAAGGACCCCTCTGGGCGGGCAACACATACCCACACAGCCCTCAGCTGGAGATGAGCTCCCTCCACACCCACCTGCCCTTCACCATGAGTCAGGAGCCCCTGCCTGCATCTGACTCTGCTGATTGTCTCGTCCTTCTTCTCAGGTTCCAGTGGCTCTCCTGGACCCCATGGCCCCCCAGGTCAGTGTGCTGCTTCTTGTAAATTGATGCTATTTATGGGCAAAAGGCGGGGTGGTGGTGTTAAAAGGAAAACTAAACATTTTTCAAATAAAAGAAGCAATTACAGGGTTGGGGTTCAAGCCTCCTGAAGACACAAAACTCAAGTCTAGGCATGTGTCTCCTGCAGCTGAGCTCAGGGGCCCTCATGAGCTCTGTCCAGGTCTGGTCTGAGACCTGGCATGGGTCTCAGACTCACCAGCAGCTTTGGCAATGGGAGATTCCCATCCTCCTTTCACCTGAGCCAGTGCCTAGGCCCCACCCTGCTTCCACCCCTGAGAGCCAAAGAGCTCTTCCTGCTGTCCTGAGGATCTCAAGCTGCAGCCAATGTCTGTGCCTGGGTCCTGTGAGGTGTTCCTATGCCCAGGGCCTGATCAGCAGGGTCAAGAAAGTTGGGCCAGTTTAGCAGGGACATGGGGAGGAGCGCAGGGAAAGCAGCCGTAGACTTGATTCTAGGGCGTGTGGACCTGGGTGGTGTACACAACTGCAGCATGCATGTGCACAAACACACGTGTGCATCCATCCTTTCCAAAGATGGGACACTCATCCACCCGTATGCCTTCCTCCGCTGGCAGGTTCTATAGGTCCCCAAGGGCTCCGAGGTGAAGTGGGACTCCCTGGTGTCAAAGGTAAGCTGGGGGGAAGAGGACATCATCCTGGGATCAAGAAGGAGGTCTGGGAGGACAGGGGACGGGAGGTAGGGGTTGGGTCTGATGGACAGGTGACGCCCACAGCAAGTGCAGCTGACATATGGGAGAGTGGGGGTGATGAGGTCAGCATGGAGGAAAAGCTGTCTTCAGAGATAGACATTGACCCTTCTTGGTTGTCCCTGCGAGGCCCTTTAAACAAGATGTCCATTTCCTTTTCAGGCGACAAAGGACCTATGGGACCACCAGGACCCAAAGGTATATGCTGTTTCCACTGCTGCTCAGTCATTACCATAGTCTTCTCTACTCCTGGGCACTCAGATGTGACCCCTGGTGAAGGGTTTGAGAACCCATAGGACTCTGGCTCCTGGACCCTGGAACTGAGAAGGAATGAGAGTGTCCTCTTATCCAGCCCCTTGGGGAAACTGAGGCACAAAGAGGGGAAACAAAGTACCATCACCACATGTCCATGTGTAGTGAGGATGCCCATTCTGAGGTGTCTGTCCTCTGGTCTGGTCCTCCTTGTGCCCAGGGCACCGTGTGTGCTCCAGCAGGGACTGGGAGTCTGTTTGTGGGTGGGACCTGACCCAACAAGAGCTCAAACCTGCTCCTGCAACTTCACCAACGCCACATTCCTACCAGTATCCTGCTGGTGGGAGCCTACAAGTGTAAGGAGAGCCCATGGGTCCCTGTGACTGGGGAGATTGTTTTCCTTGTTCACAACTAATGACGTCCTCACCTTGTTTTGTTTTAGGTGACCAGGGTGAGAAAGGACCTCGAGGCCTCACAGGTCAGTCCTCTATAGGAATCTACTTTAGTTCATTCATGACTTTTAAGTCTATTGTTCAGTGGAGATGGAAAAAAATACAGAAGGAGACAGAATGTCTCTTAAGACTTTCAGGAAACTTGCCTTCTAGAAAAAGCCGAGAAGATAAAATAAGGCCATAAATGGGGGTCAAACACTCTTCAAAATGCACAGTCCCAACAATAGATAGATACTTGGTACAAAAAGGGGGGTATCTACTCATCTGTGACCCTCTGGACGAATCCAGTTGGTAAAATTAATAAGCAAATTCCAGAGTGGAAGAAAATGTGTGCCACTGCATCTGCTCAGCCACTTACCGCCTGCCAACTGGCATCATTAAAAAGGACATTGATGGTAATGATAATTTGACCACAAAGGTTAGCTTTCTGTTTCCAAGGAAATTGGGTTCATACACAAGTCCCTTCAGATCAAGTGCGGATTCTGGGTCAATCTGTGCCTACTTCCAGGGGGAGCAGGGGTCTTTGGCCTTGGAATCAAAGCAGCAATTGCTTCCCACCTCCTCTATGTGGAGAGGAGGCAGGCATCTTGGGCTGTGGGAGGAAGTGGGCTCGTGCTACCACGTTCAAAGCACACATTAGCTTGCCAGCCTCCAACCAGCTGGTCCTCTGTCCTGTGCAGGCGAGCCTGGAGTGAGAGGTTTGCCTGGAGCGGTGGGTGAGCCCGGAGCTAAAGGAGCAATGGGTAAGTGTCCCAAAGAGTGTCTGCCTATTCCAGAGCTCATCACGGCCCTGTAGAAATTCTTCTTCTAGAGCTGCCGCTGCAGCTCTCTTTCCCCTGCCCACCCTTGGGCAAGTCCCCCTCTTTGGTCATTTCTGGGTCTGAGGATTCCTCTGGGGCTCAGCAAGCTGCAGTTCTCTGTGGGTTTCTCACTGCTCTAGGTCAGGCTTGGCAGGGTGTGGCCCATCATCCTGGCTCCTGCCTGGAAGCCAAGGCAAAGACAATTGAGGTCCCTTGGGACTCCCAGTGTCCCACCCCAGGATGAGCTTCACAACCAGATCCAGGTGGCCACCCTGTGGCTACCCTTTGCTGCCTGACAGCCAGGGCATACAAGCTGGCTGAGGACCTGCAGAGGACCAGGCTGGCTGAGAACCATGGTGTCTCGAGGCTTATGCCCCCCTCCCCCACTAAGGACGCACCACCTTCACTTGTTCATTTCACTAGCTCTTGGCAAGCACTGACTGTTGGCAGGACAAGTAAGACACTTTGCTCCCTCAAGAGGAGATAAAGCTTACAAGAAGGGACAGGGGCCAATGAAAGGCCCCAAATACTATGGTTAGATAATGGAGGAAGAGATTTCTCCCAACCAGAAGGATGGAGGAGATGGCATTTCAGATGGTTCTGAAATCTTAGGAAGATTTTCATCCTGATCAGCGTGGAAAATAATCCATGCAGACACAACACGAGTAAAGACAGAGTAGAGGCACAGTCCCGAAGTACACCATCTCAGATGGGGTTAGGATAGCAGATAACTGGAGCAGAAAGCAGAGGAGACAAGAACTGGAAGACCTTGACTTCCAGGACCTCAAGGAAATGAGGTGAACACTTATGAGCCCTCAGCTCTCGCAGTGGGATGGGAGCCCTGGACCACTCTCAGCAGGCACATAGACCGTGGCTGGCTTAGGAGAAGCCTATCTCCAGAAGGTGGGACAAAGCAGGCTCTCCTGCAGTCAACACCATAGAGAGGGTTTGGAGGGCTCCCACCTGGGAGACCTCAAGCTCTGAGGCTACTGGGACAGGAAGGAAGTCACAGAAATAGCTCCAGGGGTCCATGGACTGATGAACTTTGCTTTTCTGCTTGCTCAGGTCCTGCTGGCCCTGATGGACAACAAGGCCCAAGAGGTTGGTTACTGATTTCCTGTCTTCACTCGCACCTGCCCATGTCTCCCATTCCCTGCCCTACCTATGTCCCTGCATGGGTCCCCAGTTCCCTTCTTCATAATGCCGCATGCATTTGGCATGTGGAAGTGTGCCTGTCCAGTTCTTGTTCCCCTCCTCCTTCTTGCCCACCAGCAGGACAGTCAGGAAAATCCCAGAGGCCTTGGCTCTGAGGCACTGGTGGTCAGCTCTCCTCAGGGAAACCCTTTCTCATTGCCCATGCTCTCTCCAGGTGAGCAAGGCATGACGGGGATGCCTGGAACCCGTGGCCTACCAGGACCTGCTGGAGATCCAGGAAAGCCAGGTAACAGGGCAGGAAGAGGGAGCCACACCCTGCTGGTTTTCAGGTGGAGATGTGCAGAGGTGTGTGGGCATCTGTTTAGGGGTGTCATGGGATCACATGTTGTGTGTATGTACATGAGTGTATACGAGTGCACCCTCACATGCCTTATCCCCTTTACCTCCAACAGCTCAGCAGAAAACTCACACAGCAGGTGGTGCTGTGCGTAGTGACTGCAGGGCCCTGGCCACTTAGAGCCACCAAGTGTGGCACTTGGGAGAGAGGGATTAACAACTGAAAGCAAGGAATTCTAGAAAAGGGCAAGGATACTTAAAATTGCACACTCGCATGCTGCCAGCTTGATATCTTGCTCCTTTGGGCCTTTCCCATTCTGTCCTGCTTTCCTGGGGCCATACCTGGTCCCTACCAGTCAGAGGAGAAAAGCCCTCATTAGAGTTTCCACTAAGGGCCAAGCAAGAGCAGGATCCTTAAGGCGGCAAGAAGAACAGATCAAAAAGAGCCCAGAGCCTGGTGTCGTGGCCCAGGCCTATAATCCCTGCAAATCTTAAGGCTGAGGCAGGAGGACCATAAGTTCAAAACCAGCCTCAGCAACTTAGCAATGCCCTAAGCAACTCAGTGAGACCCTGTCTCTAAAAAACATTCAAAAAGGGCTGGGATGTGGCTCAGTGATTAAGAACCCTGGGGTTCAATCCCTGGTACCCCCCCCCAAAAAAAAAAAAAGCCAAGAAAGTTGTGTGGTTACAGCAGGTGGCCATTCATCAGGGGTCACGGAGGGCAGGGGGACACCTAGCTGGTATGTGCAAGTGTAGCGCTAAGGGAGGGAACCTGGGGCAGTATTTGGGGGTCTGTCAGTATGTGTTCTGGTGTTCTGGGTCCTTGGCTCTCCGATTTCATAAGATTTGTGGACCCAAAGAAGTTTAGAATCAGTGCCTGAGGAAGCACTGGCTTGCTTCACTGAAAAATTGAAAGAATTGCTCTCTGTCCAGTGCTGGAGGGCCCTGGACACCCTAGTGTGAGGCTTGTCCTGTACCCACTGACCCCTCCACTGCCATGTCCACCTGCCCCTGCAGCTGAGGACAGCCTCTAGCACCTCAACTCTCACCCCTGTGTCTTGTTTTCTGCAGGTCTCACAGGACCCCAGGGACCTCAGGGTGAGTCACGGGGTCAATCCCATTTCTTTCCAGGATAGCCACTTTGGCCAGCACTTTTCTCCAATCACCTGAGAGTGTCCTCCCCTTTCCCCAATCCCCCTTCCACAAGGAGACTTGAGAAGAGAAAGAAAAACATACACAGAACAGCCTAAAACACCATTCTGGTAACGATGAGGTTGGATGGTGTGCGCTGCTCTGTCTGACTGGTCTGTCTCTCCCGGTGCAGGAATGCTCCAGAGCAGCTCTGTGGGGGCTGCTGCTGGGCAGGAACTCTGGTGATCGACACAGGCTCACGTTCCTCACTAGCATGGAGGGAGTGGCCATCATCCCCACCTTGTTTCAAGTTCTCGTTTTTTGTTCAAGTCCATCCTATAATTATCCATCTGGATTTGAGAAATCATCTCCACACTCAGCCCTTCATTTCCTAAAGGAAATTAGGCAAGGATTTCAAATGAAACCACACAGCAGGGTCCCAGACACTACATGCTCAGTGACATCCTCAGATGCTCAAAAGCAAGCAGGAGCACTGCAGGCCAGCCCCAGCCTGGGGGAACAGGGGAGCTATGGCTGCTTTGCAGGTACCAGGAGCTCACAACCCAGTGGGACTGGAATCCCCCAGAGCAGAGCTCATAGGCTCAGCCTACCTCAAGCCCAGCTTTTGCCCAATTTCCCAGAGAGGGATGGGCCTCAGGGCAAGAGGCTCCCTCAGGGGCTGCCTGGGCTAACGCTGAGGGCCAGGTCGTATTTCTCAGGGCTTCAACCAGCAGCCAGTGTGGCTATGCTGAGTGACAGAGAGCGTGGTACTGCCCCAGGCTGTCTGGAATGTTGGGACCTTAATTATCCTGACTGACATGTTTTTAATCACCTTAGGACTTCCTGGGACCCCTGGCCCTCAGGGGACTAAAGGTAAGTGATTTTCCAAATGAGATGTGCTTTCTTTTCACTAGTCATTTTTGCAAAAGGGAGGCCCCTCTCTGGCCAGAGCCTGGACCAACAGTGGCATCTAGTGGCTCTAGCAAATGCTGAGAGATGGGAGCCCCATGGTCCATGCTGAGCAACCAGGCCCTAGGTCCTTAGGCCTCCTCCTCCACTCCACCTCCTCACCCCACACCAGAGCCTCACTGTTGGTTCCAGTCAGTCATGGCAGGAAGATCAGGAAGGGAGATGCCCACCTCCAAAACTTCTTATTCCCTGATTTTCTTCTAAATGCCCCATTCATGCCTCCTCCCCCTTGCTTAGGCTTAGTCCCCAATAATGTGACTCTTAACCAGGCTGGAAGACATGGTTGGTCTTGTTCTTCACACAGGCCTCAGTGTGACTAGGTCCACCAGGTCCTCCTGAGAGGTGGCTCTGTGAGAGTGTTAGAATGCTATTCAAATGGTAAATGCCCTGCAGACAAGCCTTGAGCAAGCCCAGAGATACACAGTGTTCCTTCTGTCCCTGTGACCCAGCTCCTGAATCCTGATGCTCTATAGCTGTACTCTGTCATGAGCCACTGTCACCCCTGGTGGGACCCTCAAAACAACCATTTTCCAGAAACTACTTCCGACAACTGATTGGGCCAAGGAGTTCTTACAGGATAAATAAATGTAACCCTAAAATAATGACAGCCAAGGTCATCTATCCCAGACATATCTGAGTCCATAGATTTATTAGTGAATGGATGAAAATGATTTGGTGAGCCCCTAATTACCCTCCTGTCCAATCTTCCTTGTCCTCCCCAGGTGAACCTGGCACTCCAGGCAAGATAGTGACTTCAGGTAGGAAGGTCTGGGAGGGCCCTCCTTATGGTGTCTTTCTCTTTCCTGTGTGGTGCACCTGCCCTGGCTCTGCCTTTGTGTCCTCCAAGAAGCACTGGTTGGGAAGCATGGCGCTTGGGGTGGGATGTGGCTGTGAGGTCTTTGGGCCAGCAGGCAGGCAAGGGGGGGAGTTCAGAGGTGAAGAGAGGCACAAGTGCGAGTCTGCCTGGCCCACAACCTGCTAGGGTTGCCAGAGCCTCAGAGCCAGAAAGTGGGGCTCAGGGTTCATGTGCCTCTGTTTCCAGGTGGATCATCAACCATCACTGTCCCAGGCCCCCCAGGGCCTCCTGGAGCAATGGGACCCCCAGGGCCCCCAGGTACCCCAGGTCAGTCTGTTTTCTTGTTTTGCCCAATCAGCAGCATGCTGTGGTTGCATTTGACTCTAGCCATGCTTGCTCGAATCCTGAAACCCAGGGGAGGAGCCTGGGAAAGAGAGTGAGGAGGGCTGAGAGACAGACCCTGGTGTTCATGGTCAAGGAGGCAGATCAGCTATCCTGCCTCACAGGAGAGGAGGCCAAATAGCATTTGTAGATGGGAAGGCTGAGGCTCAGAGCAGGTAAATGATGCACCTAAGGTCACACAGCCAAGAAGCAGCAGGCCAGAACATTCTGCCTCTAAAGTTTAAGAACAGTTAGAACTAGATCAGTGAGCCCATAGTTTTTTCTTTGAAAATGGGCATCAAGGGCAACACAAATGCTAGTGATTATTAGCAGAAAATATCCCAAACCTTCTAGTCACATGGGATGGTTACAAAACCATGAAGACTTTTGGAGAAAGTTGTCAGGAGTTATTGGTAAGAATTTAAAAGAACTTGATATGTGCTTTGTGGTTACAACTATAATTTTGAAAGATGCAAAAAAATTGATGGAAGGAAATAAAATGCTCAGAAGCTAAAGAATAATGGATAGTTTTTTCCTTCCAAAATTCCCATTATCTTGTCACATATTTTTAGTTGCTTAAAATATTTATGAAGGGCTGAGGATGTGGCTCAGAGGTAGAGCATGTGCTTAGCATGTGTGAGGCCCTGGCTTCAGCCACCACCATCACAAATAAATAAATATTTGTGAAGTACATAACTTAATACAAATAATGCAAGTATATACCAGCCTTCCCTCCTGATGAGCTCCAGTGAGAGGAGGTCAGTGGGGACATGTGTAAGTCCCTAACCACTGAGAACAGCCCTGACTACCCTCAGGATTCCTGGCACCTGTCAGAGAGGTCTCTGGACTGGCCTCAAATTGCTTATTGCTCTCAAAATAAACAAGTCACCCCCTCTGGGCCACTGGGCCACACCTTGTGAGGGTTACACATGGACCTGGGTACCTCCCCTTTCTTCCTGTGACCTAGAGGTGTGATTTAGCCTTTTCTTCCCTGACCCCATCTCCAGGTCCTGCTGGCCCCGCTGGTCTCCCAGGACAGCAAGGTATGTCACACCCTGAAAGACTTCAGACTGTGGCTCTGGTCAGGGGACTCTCTTCCCAGGTGGGGCTTGGACCCCTGTACTTGGGAGGAAAGGAGCAGGAGGGTGGGTGGGGCTCTTCCCCTGGGGCCTTGCGAGGCCTGAGCTGCAAAGAGAACTACCCGCTCTCACCTCCTTCCATGTTTCTCAGAAATTCAGGATCCTCAGGACGGGGGATTAAAGCTCTTTGGCCCCCTTCTCAAGGTTGAACTCTGGCTAGACCCTGATAATCATGCGGCTGTCAAGAGATTTATCCAAATATCCAAAAATAGCCAGGTTTAGGGAAAGCTGGCCCAAGGCCTCCTGGGGAGTTTTGGCTTCAGAAGGAATTGTCCTTCATCAGCACACTGGCCCTGCTCACTTGCCCTTGGCACTGCCCTCCCTCAGCTCTGCCCCACCTTGGCTCTGGCCCCTGTGACCACTGCAAAGGGAAAGCAGTGGCCGGTCACTGCCAGGGGTGCCCACCTAACTCTGTACCCCCCACAGGTCCACGAGGGGAGCCAGGACTTGCGGGTGAATCCTTCATCAGTTCTAGCAGCTCCATCTCCGAAGTCCTCTCTGCTCGTGAGTGCCACCATTCTCTAGGGCAGGTGACATTGCGGGCAGGAGTGGGAGAGATGGCAGCTGCATCAGTGAGTCATCCGCATCCCCGAGGGCCCGATGTGAGGGTGACCACATCTTGCGCAATGCAGTGAGAGCTCAGAAGAACAGCAGGGCTTGTCTGGTGTGGAGGCTCAGTCACTGGGGATGCAGCAGCTGTCAGAGGCTCTGGGATTTCAGAAGACCCAGGGTCAGGCCAGGCCTTGGGAGCGAGTATGGCTGGCGGGAGTAGCACATCCCCCACTCAGAGAGGGCAGCGGCTAGGCTCTGTGATTCTCAGCCACAGGCCCAGGCTGGCACGGCTGGCTCTTGCAGCCGCCTGTCTACGAAGTCCTTTCCAGAGCCCAGGTGGAGTTACAGGTGCCTTCCACCTGGACACCGGACATGACATGCCAAGCTATAAAACAACACCCCCACCCTGGTCAGGCCCTCATCGTGTGCTTGAGTTGTGTTGGGGACTTAGCATTCAGTGGCATTTTATGCTAAGATGCCACCATAATGTAAGTTGGCTGTGGTTCACAGGGAGGAAATCAAGGCTGAACTTGCCCAGAGTCACCAGCCGCATATGCAGGATAAAGATTTGATCCCTGCTTTCTAGGGGAAGGCCAAGAGGCATCAAAACCCAAGCTTTTACCCAACTCCCTACTTACTTTTAGTTGCCAGGAAGTTTGACTGCAGCCCCACCCTGCCCCTGAGGGAAAGGCACCATCAGCAAATGGGGTCCCAGAGGGTCCTGTGCCAAGACCCACGGCCTGGTCCCTGGGGCATGAATGTAACCTGGCCGCCTGAGGCTGACCATGCTGGTGGGCAGTCAGGAGCAGGGCAGAGAACAGCCTGGCCACTGCTTTCTCTCAATTCTGTTTTCTTCTCTCTACAGAAGGTCTTGATTTACGAGGTCCCCCAGGCCCACCTGGGCCACGTGGGCCACCAGGTGAGCAACTCAGGGATCTTGAAGGCACTTAGTAAGGAAGCCTAGATCCTGCTTTCGGGGTGAATTGGCCCCCTGAGCTCACTGCTTCCTCTTACTCACTCTCTTTTGCAGGGCCTGCCATCCCCGGCCCTCCAGGACCCCGAGGACCTCCAGGTGAGAGCTAGGCTCCCTGCAGGAGTGGGGAAGGGAGGTAACAGGGAAGGGAGGTAACAAGAAACGGGGTGCCCTCCAGCCTGGTTTTTAGGAAAGAGCTCCCTGTCTCCTCTTCCTCTCAGGCAGAGGGCCCCTATCCCACCTCTTGGCACTAATGCATCTTGGGGGCTCCTCTTTCTAGGAGAAGGCTTGCCAGGCCCACCAGGCCCACCAGGATCTTTCCTGGCTGACTCAGGTAATGTTGTGGCATTGAGTCACACCTGTCCCTGCCCTAGCCCTGGCATGATCCAGGGTCACAGCCTCATGACCTTCCAGACCTATTGGCTAGGCATCCTCCTTCTGCCTCTCCATGGGGGTTGTGTCTGCATAATTTTCCTGCTTCTTGCTGCACAAGGGGAGATTAAACCATGCCAGCCCAACCACCCTGGCCTGAGGGAGCAGCAGCTCTGCCCCAAGGGAGTTCCTGAAGTGACTGGGGAGGCCTGGGTCTCGTCCTCAAGGATCCTAGGTCTGAAAAAGTAACAGGACACATGCACATGAAATAAATGCTAACAGTTTAGCAAAGGAACTTATGGAAATAAACTTGGAGCAAAGATCAGGCCAGAACTCGTCCCTTGTGGATGATCCATCCATCCATTCATCTTATCACTCATTCATTTTTATACCCAACCTCTCAACCATACAAACATGCAAACACCCATCCTTATAGCCATCTGTCAAGTGTTGACTGAACATCTACACCATGCCAGGTGCTGTGCTGTGCGCTGCTTCCTCAGCACACCACTGTGTCTGCACTCAAACTGCTTCTTTCCTCTACAGAAAACTTCTTCTCTGGCCCTCCAGGCCCACCTGGCCCCCCAGGCCCCAAGGGAGACCCAGGTGAGAGCAGTGTCCCAGGGAGACCAGGAGCCAGTATGAATCCCCTGCTTACCCACCTGGTGGCTAGGAGAGTTTAGATGAGGCTGCCTGAGCATGGAGGGGCATTTCCTCATCCTCCTGCCAGGTCCCTTTAGGGGCTCAGGAGCCTGCAGCAGGGGGCGGGAGTGTGGGGAGGAGTCAGAACCTCTGTAAAGAAATTCCCCGCCTCCTCCTCCTTTGACCTGGTGGAGCCCCAGGTTCTGCATCTGCTGCAGCACTGGTGCCCCCATCTCCTCCTCCATGTTAGTCGGTGTCTCACAGCTCTCTGCCTCCTTCCCTCAGGTCCCCCAGGCCCCCGAAGACATCAAGGTACAGTAGAGCTGGCATCAAACACAACCAGGAATAGGGGTGGGGTGGCAAGAGCTTTGAGCTTACAGGAAGTACAATTGGTTCATGTGAGTCAGAGTACATCCCAGTGCCTCCAGGGGTGGCTGAGTATTTGCATTTGTGCAGGCAGCTCAGGTGCACGCAAGTGTGCAGCCAGCACTGACTGCCCAAAGTGGAAGTCGGCCCAGCAGTCATGGATCTTGGGGGCTTCCAACATGGGGTGGGATTGGGAGGAGAGTGAACCAACTGTCCCCTCTTGGAGTGTCCCTCAGGCGAGCAGGGTCTCTGGGCATTCTTAGCCTCAGTTAAGTGCTGTGCATCGCCCCTTCCAGCTCTGCCCAGGGACTCTCCCAACCCTGGCTGACTGTACTGTGTGTTCATGGCTTTCAGGTTCCAGTTCCCTGGCATTTGACCTACAGGGACCACCAGGCCCACCTGGCCCACAGGGACCCAAAGGTAACAAAGGTCATTGAGGGTGTAGTCAAGAAGGTGGTGAGGAGGTAGAAGAGAGGACAGGTGGAGGGAGATAGAGACAAGGACGTAGAGGACAGTCTCTGCCCAAACAGAGCTCATGGCATCATTACAGTAATAAGACCAAGAACCATACACTAAGTGTAGTTGGGTTCAAGCAGGGAAGTCTACCCGGAGGAGGGGACACAAACAAGGCTTCACTTTTGGATTGCAGGTGATCCCGGTGTCCCAGGGGCTCCTGGCATCCCCGGAGTTCCCTCTCAAGGTAAGAACAAAAGGTGACCCAAGTCCCTCTCCCTACTTCAAGTGAGACTGATCATTCCAATGAGGACATTGATCTATTTGTTCGTTAACTTAGCCATGATTCAGTACTGAGTCAGTGCCTCCTCGTGGGTGAGGATCAAGTGCTGACTTTCACGCTACAAGCTTGTGGGATGAGAGGGAAGCACAGGTTCTGCTAAAGACATCTAAAGATAACTAACAATGCCAGGTGACAAATGGCCCCTTGTGTTATGGGTGATCAGAGAGAAGGGAAATTCTGTGAGGTGGTGAACAGGTTGCTGTAAGAAATGGGAATTTAGCCTGGGACAACTCCCATCTCTATGCCCCTCAAAGAGGTGGCCCTTCTCTTGGCCACTGTCCTATTTCTCCCACTGAGAAAGTCCCTCCCTCCTCAGGGAGCCTGGGTCTGACCCTAGGGCCAAGAAACCAAGTCAGGACACTTTCTCTTCCCTGCAGGGGGATCATCAAGCACCATGTATGTGCCAGGCCCACCTGGACCACCAGGGCCCCCTGGGCCTCCAGGCTCCCTCAGCAGCTCCGGCCAGGAGATTCAGCAGTACATCTCTGAATACATGCAGAGTAAGTGGCCGGCATCCCATGCCAGGGGTCTGAATAAGGCAGCAGTGGCCAGGGGGTTGGGGACGGGTTATGTGGGACACAGGGAGCACCCATGGAGCCTGTCCTGTAGGTCAGTGAGTGCCCCAACCCCTGTCCACACACGCAGCCTCATCCTCTCCCCACCTGGAGGTCCAAATGCACACACAGCACACTTATGTGTGTGCATTACTCTGCATCCCGGTACGTGGGTGGTTTACCAAGTGGGTGGCCAATGGAGTCATATTGGTCCACAGCCCTTACGGGCCACCCGACCCAACACAGGCCTCAGTTTCTCTATCAGTATCAAAGGAGCCTAAGCTCCCTGCAGGCCCTGCTTTGAGCTCGTGTGTGGGGTGGCCCCCACATACTGCAGTTCTCCTCCATGGAGAGAACCAGCTTGACTTTATATCATTCCTTTGTTGGCAGGTGACAGCATTAGGTCTTATCTATCTGGAGTACAGGGTCCCCCAGGCCCACGAGGTCCTCCGGGGCCTGTCACCACCATTACAGGAGAGACTTTTGACTACGCAGAGCTGGCAAGCCACGTTGTGAAGTACTTGCAGAGTAAGCCTGGTCCCACCCCTGGCTCGGTCATCTTCTTCCCAAGGGTCCACTCCTGTTCCCGGAGTCTCATCTCTTAATTCTCTGTTTGCTTAGCCCTTGTGAGCATCTGGCCAGTGTGTTCCTAATCACAGGCCTTTCTTGTCTAGCTCATAAAAAGGAATCCTTCATATTGGCAGTATCTGGAAGGAGTGAGACTAGATCTCATAGTGGAAAACAAACCACATTTCTTACCAAAATAATAATAACACTGAGAACCACCATTTGGGGCTTTTCTAAATGGGTGCTTTCTAAATGCCTGTAATGCCCCCCATTCATTCATTTCGCTCAAAGAGAAGTGACTGGTTGGGCAGGTATTTCAGGTCTGGATACACAGGATCTGCTTTAGGACCAGAGTAGGTCACCTGACGTCTTTCTTCTGCAGCTTCAGGGTACAGTATCACCTCTTCCTCGTCCTCCATCTCCTCCGAAGACATCCTGGCTGTGCTGCAGCGTGAGTCACCTGTGGGGGATGAGAGGGTGGGACCCTCCTTGCCGTCTCCAGACTCTACCTGTCATACACACCTTGTGAGGGCTTCAAACAGGAAGCAGTCCTTTGGAACAAGGAGCTGCTAACTCACTGCTCACTCTGCTTACTGAGACACAAACAAGCTGGAAAGTGCGAGGCAAATCTCCCCTCTCCAGACAATGCCAAGCAAGCAGGCAGGGGCCCCTCCAGGTGCCTGGAAGCTTGCTGACCCCCCTCTGAACCCCCCCCCCACACACACACACACAGTGTGGGCCTGACAACCCAGAACTCACAACTGTCACTGGGAGCCAGACTGTGGCTGAGGAACCCCATGGCTGGGTGGGTCCTCACTAACTAGCACATCCTCTCCTTTCCAGGTGATGAAGTGCGTCAATACCTGCGTCAGTACCTGATGGGCCCTCGGGGTCCCCCAGGGCCACCAGGAGCTAGTGGAGATGGGTCCCTCCTGTCTTTGGACTATGCAGAGCTGAGCAATCGCATCATCAGCTACATGTCGAGTGAGTGTCTGCCCTCCTGGCCTGCCCTCTGCAGGCAGGGTGGTCAGGAAGGGCCTGCAATGAGGACCAGATATTGAACTTTGCTGAGATGCCCCAACTGACACCTCCTGCCAGGCTGCAGCAAACCCAGTAGGGGGAGCAGCTTTCACAGCTGTTCAAACCTGTAGCCCTAGAGCAAGTCAAAGAGTGTGGTGAGGGAGGCAAGATGAGCATGGAGTTTGCACTGGGCATGGCATACATGCTTGCACATCCCTATAACCCAGCAGGAGGATGACACTGGACAGATGCTGACCTGCCTCTCCTCCATGCCTCCTCTGGTGGCATTGCACAGGAGTGTTTCCACATCAGTCCTCTCTGCCTCTCTTTCTGCCACCTCTTCCTTCCCTTCTTGGACTCCACATCTGTCCAGATCTCTGTGTGTCTGAACTCCTCTCCGACAGGGCATTTGCATTTGCCTTCCTTTGATTGATCTGAGCCCATCACAACTTGGGACTTTGTTCCCCAGGTTCTGGGATTGGCATTGGGCTTCCGGGCCCCCCAGGTCCCCCTGGCCTCCCAGGAACTTCCTATGAGGAGCTCCTCTCCTTGCTCCGAGGTAAGGCCAAGTAGGGGCATCTGTCCATGTGGTTTGGGATGGAGGCACAGCCCTTGGTCCCAGCTGTGACTGATTGCTTCACTCTGTGTCTCAGGGTCTGAATATAGAGGCATCATTGGACCCCCAGGTCCTCCAGGGCCACCAGGGATCCCAGGCAATGCATGGTCCAGCATCAGCATGGAGGACCTCTCTTCTTACTTGCACAGTAGGGTACTGGGAGCAGGGAGGAAGAGGGCAGAGGACTGCAGCCTGGCCTTAGGGTACCCATGGGTCTTAGCAAAGGCAGCCATGGACAACTGAATCAATTCACTATCACCAAGGGCCCTGGGGTCGTTGGTCTCTTATTGTGAGGGCCCCTGAGCCTTGTCAGGGGGAGAAGTAGAGGAAGTCAGGAGGGACAGAGTTCCTAATTCATGAGCCGGCCTGGGTGCTCCAATGCTCAGTAGTGAGGGGCTGGGAAGGGGGGCACAATCTGGGTTGAAGAAGGAGGCTCAGAATTACAGGTGGAAGGGCCAGGCAGGAGCAGCCATTCCTGGATGGTGCCAGGACAGGGGCTGCCCTACGCCTCCTGTTGTTCCCTCTTCCCCGCATCCAGGAGGCCCAGCCTCACCTTCCCACATTTCAGAGGGAGTCCACAGCAGGTTGAGAGGCCAGGCTGAGAATCAGCTTTCTCCATACAGGACTATGACCTTTCTCTTCCTTTCTTCCCCCTCAGGTGCAGGCTTGTCATTCACCACAGGCCCTCCAGGCCCTCCTGGGCCCCCAGGTCCTCGAGGGCCCCCAGGTGTCTCAGGCGCTCTGGTAAACTATGCAGCTGAAAACAGTGACAACTTCCGGAGTGAGCTGATTAGCTACCTCACAAGTATGTGTCCTGACTTGGGTATGCCCCCACAGCCCTTCCCCAGACCTTGCTTTTCCCTGTAAGTGGAGTGGCAGGTGGTTGAAGGAGCCTAGGAGGCAAACACCAGGGAGCCCCCAGGCAGGGAAAACTCACTTTCTTTCCTTCCAGCGTCCTCCCACTGGTGTGCAAGGACCTTGAAGTTCCCTTCAGGTCACTGAAGGGTATTCATACCCCAAGAGAGAATATCTAGCTCCCAACTCTTTCAGCCCATAAGGAGTTGAGCTCCTGCTCAGGCAGCTTCCTACCCCGCAGGTCCTGATGTGCGCAGCTTCATCGTTGGGCCCCCAGGCCCTCCTGGGCCACAGGGACCACCAGGAGACAGCCGTTTGGTGTCACGGGATAACTCCTACAGTTGGGGTCACAGCTCTTCCTCCAGTCGGGGCACGTCCTACAGTTCTTCAGGTGTTGGAGGAACCAATGGAGGCTCCCTGGGTGAAGGTGGAGCCTTTGGCACAGGAGATGGGGGTCCCTATGGCACTGACATCAGCAGAGGTGGGGGCTATGGGGCAGCATCAGAAGGCGGCGTGTATGGTGGCAATGGCGAATCGTTCCGAGCTGGCTTCGCTGGAGACCTGGATTACAATGAGCTGGCTGTGAGGGTGTCAGAGAGCTTGCAACGTAAGTAGGGACATGGGCCTTGGTGCAGGGGGAGCTTGTGAGCATCTTAGCATCTAGGCCCCAGAGACCAGCTCTCTTGTTTTTAAGCACTCAGGCTGTGAAGACGGTAATTCTGGAATCAGATGGGCAGGGACAGAAGACAGGAGGCCCCATTCCTAATTTTCAGCCAGCTCGGTGCACGGGGGCCCCAGAAATAGAACCTAAGCCATGGGAAGCAGAGCACACTGGGCTCTCAGTACTTTGCTTTCCCAACACCTAACCTGTCCTGGGTCTCTAAGGACCATGATGACTTTCTGGTGGGGCTGAGTGGAGGTGGATGGCTAAGAGGCCCTTTCTCCTTGTAGTTGATCAGCACAGATATAGTTGGGCAGTCCAAAGTCCTTTGGGAATGCCCGTACAAGCAGAGACCTGTGCCAGTCACACAGGAGGGTACAGTGGAAGTCTACAGGGTTTGTCCCTTGGGACAGCTTCACTTAGCTTAACTGCTTTGGGACTTATCTGTGAGCAATGTGCTCCTGCTGAAGGCCGTGGTGAGTGATCCCAACCTCCCGCGCCATGCACTGGTGTTTTCCAGGTCAGGGCCTGCTACAGGGAATGGCCTACACTGTCCAGGGCCCACCAGGGCAGCCTGGGCCCCAGGGTCCCCCTGGCATCAGCAAGGTCTTCTCTGCCTACAGCAACGTAACTGAAGACCTCATGGACTTCTTCCGAAGTAAGGCCATCCCCATTGCCTTCCCGGCACCCACCCCATGGCAGTGTCTCACATGGGGTCTGCTCCATAGACACCAACTCATGAAAACCTTGAGATGCTGAAAATCGGATAATTTTTAAACTTTGCTTCCTCTTCCAAATGCAGACTCCTTTGCTACCAATTTGTATTACTTTGAATAAATCACCTGACCTCCCCAGCTTCAGGCAATCTCTAGCCTAAGGCCAGTATTCCCCCCCACCCCATACAGCTTATGGAGCCATTCCAGGACCCCCTGGGCAGAAGGGAGAAATGGGCATCCCAGGACCCAAAGGTAAGTGGTGGCAGGAAAACAGCCACCAGAGGCTGTGTAATGACAACCTCTTGCTGAGAAGCAGCCCCCACAATGGGTACACCTTGACCCCCAGCCCTCCACACTCTTTATTAATGCCATGCTCCCTTCTACCTTTTTAGGTGACAGAGGCCCTCCTGGATCACGAGGCCTTCCTGGGCCACCTGGCCCTCAAGGGCACAAGGGAGAAAAAGGAGACAAAGGTAAATACTGGTGCTGATGTTCTGAGTTTCTGGAGGTTGGTGCTCAACAGAGCAAGCTTGAGACATTCACGAAAATGCCAAGGCAGCACCATCAAGCACACAATTGGCAATAATAATTGCATTACAGCTGGGGAGACAGGAAGGGGAGTTATATTTGCAGGGAGGAAAAGGAGAGCCAAGCTAGTAATGATATAGCATAAATGATATAAATGAATTCAAAGTATCACAAGAGTTCTTCTTTTAACCATCATTGTGGAAGTCACAGTCACCATATTGCCCAAGTTAAGGTCCCCATAAACCACAGATAATTTTTAACTTCTTCCTCACCTCCTAACTTACAGGTGACCAAGTCTACGTTGGGCGGAGGAAGAGAAGTATTGCCATCAAACCATGAGCTGGACTTGGCAGAGCAGCCCCCTGGACACAGTCACCTAGGAACCCTTGTTTTAGTCTGAAAAGAAAAAAAATTCAGGCAAAGATACACAACCTGAAACAACTTCACTGGATGGACCTTAAGAATAGCTGCAACATTTTAGCATGAGACTTACTTCCCTGCTGTCTAGATCCAAGCTCCTTGGCTTCTTTAACATTTAGTTCAAGCTCCTACCTAGGAAAGTCAGTTACATAAGCATTGGCTTGCAAGTCTTGGAGCTTTGCCTAAAAAATGAGCCCCAAAATTAAAGATAGGGATGGGGTGCCTCATGGAGGCAACACTTGATGGGGGTATCTTTTGATTATTGTTGCAAAGTTGTGCTATCAGCTCCTTCCTCCTGTTTACTACATTCTCAAGTCATGGAGAGTTAGCTAAGAAGAGACTTGCAATTGAAAAAATTAAAAAATCTTCTTCCCCTGTGGGAGATCACAAGGTTTCTAATAGTTATATGTGCATATATATGCAGATCAGATCCCCACTTGCTTAGGAAGTATGATTATAGCTATGATCTGCATCCACAGCCCCCTGCTAGGATGTATAGATATGTTATACTCAACTAGACCGCAGCAAATAGGACAAGAGGGACAATGGGCAAGGAGGGGCAAGAAGATGAGGGAGGAAATAGAATACCTGAAGCTGGAGGATGGCTTCCGCTCACAAATGTCACCCTCTGTTCTGCTCTTAGGAAATGGGATGGGGGCTTGGTGCAGTCAGTTTTTAAGCACTTTTCACGGTCTAAAAACATTTGTATGTGGTCTATAAGATGAAAAGGCATTTCAATGTAAAATTTCCAATTAAAGTTTTTTTTTTCTTTTTTTAATATCATGTCTAATATGACCCATCTAAGCAAACAATTTTTTAAAAAATAAAATATTCTGGGTTAATTGGGTCTCACAGCTTATTATAAACACAAGAAAACAAAATTAATTGTACTTTGGGACAGAGCTAACATTTTATTAAATTATTAAGCTCCTTTAAAGACAGAACTTCGGGCTGGGGATGTGGCTCAAGCGGTAGCGCGCTCGCCTGGCATGCGTGCTGCCCGGGTTCGATCCTCAGCACCACATACAGACAAAGATGTTGTGTCCGCCAAATACTAAAAAATAAATATTAAAAAAATTCTCTCTCTCCCCCTCTATCTCACTCTCTCTCACTCTTTCTTAAAAAAAAAAAAAAAAAAAAAAAAAAAGACAGAACTTCATCTGCAACTATTAACTCAATCTGGGCATATTATAAAGTACCTGAAAGTTTTCCTTAAACATGGATTACTTGAAATAGACACATATGCACCAAAGAGCAACAGTATTTGCAATTAATGTAGTGATTTATCCTGGTGCAAAGGAATTATGATTCCAAGCCAGAAATAGAATATCAAAACACCGATTAAGGGAAGATATGCAAATATCAAATACTCCAAGAAAATGCACCTAAAATCAGATATTCAAATTCCATAGAGACTGTACTTGGCCAACTTGTGAATTTTTTACAAGCTCTGAGTTCTGACTACTGGATAATTAAACATGGGGTTAAATTAAATCTACTTAACCTCTGCTCTTCTAAATGACTGAAATATAGCCTCCAAGTATTAATATATATTAATAGAGATTCTTGACTTATCAGACTTAGGACTTTTTATATTATTAGTAGACTTACTTTACTAAGGTATCAAAAAGTCTTCATAGAATTCTATGCCCAAGTCCAACCTTGGTACTTTCTCTAGACAAAACCCAGAAGAAAGATGGGCAGACATGAGAAACAGCCACCATTGGACAGCAACAGAGCTGAGCCTCTTTTGTCTTTTTTTTTTTTTAAAGTCAAGATTGAGCTCAATAGTGCAATAGTACTCCTAGATTAGAAAATGACAAGCTATGCCTTCCTGCAGCTAAGCTGAAGACTTGCCAAATTACGCTGCCTAGTGTCTACTGAATCTTGTATGACAATGTATCAGTGTATAATCTTGTATCAGTTACGAATGACAGAAAGAGGTTATTTTAGCAGAATTGAGGTCATATGATTTGTAATGCTCAGAAAAATAATTGATCCTAAGGCAGGAAAAAGGCAAGTAAAAATATGTGTATATACATGTTGATGGGAATATTTTAAGCACCTCCCAAATGAGGGGTTTGCATGCTAAAGACACCTACCAGCAAGTTACCAGTAAAACTTACATTTGTTAATGTGTGTGTTTGTATGTGTATGTGTGTTGTGTGTGTATATCACAGATTGCCAGGAGCTCTAATAAATCTGGAAGGTCAAAAGACCCAGAGATGGCAAACTTGAAAATATGACTAGGACCAAAGAAAGAAAAGCTACAACATGTTCTCACACAGGACAACTAGTTTCAAAGAACCTCAAAGAAAAAAAAAACAAAACAAAACTAAACAAACTGCTTCCCAAAATAGATTAAGAAATAACTTTATTTTTCATTTGTCAATCCCATGATTGAAAAGACATGTTGATCCCAAATAGATAGGAGGCATAATCTAAAAATTCTTTCTGGAAATTCAGCTTATGAGCTTATTACACTGCAAAAGATCACAGAAAGCCGCAGCCAACATTTAAAATTGATAAAACACTCTATTCCAAGCCTTGCAGCAGAAATTCTAAAGAGTTATCAAAACCATGTCAGCCATAGTACAGCAACAATACAGGCATTAACTGTTGTGCCTTCAATGTAAAAAAAGCACTTAAAATATCATCCCATTTCCTACAAAAGATCATTTCCCAGAAAAGAATTGATTTACTTAATCAGAAGACAACCGGAACTCTCTTCTTTACCCTGGATTCTAGGTTTTGCATTAGTCACCAATATCCCTAGCTAATAATTTGACCGAATTTGGCTTCTTAAAAGAGTCTTTGTCATGTGAACAGTATGGAATGAGAAAAAGTGTATAGGTACAAAATAACTGGAAGAATACAAAAAACAGTCACTTCTGAAACTTGCTGATGCTCAAGAAATCAGAGCCCCTCAATTAAAGAGGGTCTCATATGCCTGAGAGCTTTGTGCTTAAGGAAACACTACTTAGAGGTAGCTCTGGTTCTGGTTTATGTTTAATTACAATTTGCTATATCCTGTCATAGGAAGGTTCCAATATTTTCAAAAGTACTCTAAATGTCCTTCTTACCCACCCTAGAGCTTCCCCATAGAAAGGGTAAGAAAAAGCTTAATGTGACTCCAACTAGAATAGCAGCTAATTCAGCAATCCATAACCTATGGACTGACAGGACTAGGAAAAGCAGCCCAATGCTCCACACTACAGGAGCTGGGCCTGCAGAAGTGTGGAGGTGTGGTGTTTCCACAGTACGCAGAGACAAGGGGAGGAGGCGACTGTTCAGGGTGCACATATGGAGAATTATTTTTATGTATTTCATAGCACATTTGACCTCAGCAATAAAACAAGGCAGGGATGGATTTGACTGCACTCTGATTTCAAAAAAGTCTGTGCCCCTGACCCACTCCTCTACCCTTCATGCAAGAAAGAAAGATCACCAATTTCTATTTAAGGCCTTAACAAAAAGTGGGCAGGTATGCGTACAAATATCATGTTCTATAACAAAACACTTTGTAAAGATTTCTATAACCTGAAGTATTAAAATGAATGTTTCTTCTCTACGTACATATCACTGTATAGTCCTGAACCCACACAAAGATGATCATGTATGAAAGAGAACTCAGTATGAGTACAAAGGGCAGGTTTAAGGGAGATAAAGGGCTGCACATGAACTACCCAGCTCCACTCTGAGCCTCTCTCTGGATTCAATACTCTGAAATTCAGGGGGAAAGGAATAGAAAGACTCAAATATTCAGATAAAATGATACCTTAAATTATTTGATACTGAAAAAATGATTAAAAAAATACTGAAAAAATGTCCATTGCCTGAAGTATTTCTTTGTAAAAAGCCAATTAACTGAAAATTTCAAAGGTGAAAGTGAGAGAGCTTTTCTCCCATCTCTCATTTCACAAAAGTCATTAAATACACTGCGCAATATTATACCATTATTTTTATCATAACAATATAAACAATTTCCATCATCACCCTGAATATTACTTTATAAAGATATATATTTTTAAAGGCTTTCAAAAGTTTCCAACCCAACATGAGAATAAAGCATTAAAAGTTTTGTATACAGTAACATATTCATATGATAAGCGTATGAATTTACAACCATACATAATATATACGTGTGTGTATACATATATTTATATTTATATAAAAAAACAAACTTGGCCAGAAGTTAAGGCTACCTATAGTTTTGTCCAAGTAAATTATGTCTTTCAAAACAGTTACAAAATTAAAATTCCACATGCATTTTTAAATCACCTAAACCACTGACAAAATAAAGTTCAGCATCCAAAGTTTTCACATAAACTGCAAGAAAGTGCTACAGACATTTTACATTTTCTTAATATGAATCAGTGTTCCCAAATGTTACATTTAAATGTTTCACCAGCCTCAAAAGTATCTAACTAAAAAGTGAAATGTTTACAATTTGGTACCTAGCACTCTTAAAACAGAATAGGTTGCAAATGGCAGGCAGAGAGCATCATTTATAAATGTGCTGTCTCACACACCAGAGGACAATTCATAATACTGTTTGACCTGACACATGGTAGAAATTCTAGGCCTCAAAAGGGACCAAGACTGTACATTTCATCAATAACTACACATATCAGCATCCACATGATAGAGGGGCTTTCCCCACTCAAAGTAAATAATTTAAACATGGAACAAAATAAAACCAAAATGTAAGTAACCTCATTTCAAAACAACAAAAAGTAATTTCTGATGTGTGCCTAAATACTTAACACAAATCCTTTTTAAAAAAATTACTTTGAACAAATACTTTTAAAATTAATTTCAGAAAATATATTTATAAATACAACCCAGAGCCTACAGGCCTCTCAGAGTTTTAAATGAACAGAATTTGCTAAGATGTAAAGCATTAACCAGCTCATGTTTTATTTTTGGAAATAAACTAGGACAATTAAATCTGTATTTCAATGCAGTTTTATATTTCCAATTTGCACATTTAACAGCTATGTTTTTTAATCTTTCTATACTTTGTACCACATATATTTCAAGATAAAATTTTCTATTAAATGGTAATATGAGCAAGATTTTTAAATGATAATGTTCAATGCTAAGGGTGTCTTGTCCCTGTTGATCAAAAAGATTTTTTAGGTGATTGAAATTTAGTGTTTTAGGCACTATTTTAATAAAACTAGCACCTTGATTAATAGTTCCCACCTAAATAGGCAAATTTTATTGGAAGAAAATTTTTTAAGTTTGTTCATGTTTGATGATAAAATGTATTTATTTACTAAGTCAACAGCATATTCTGATCAACTTGTAGCTTTTTCATGAGAGCTGATTCACCAAAAGAAAATTATTCTAACTCTCTATAGTAGAGTTCCAACTCTAGAATACAGGCATCACTGAGAAGTTAGGTCAGGTAAAAAGATATTTATTAATACTTAGTGATGTAACAAGTTTTTTCTTTTTAATAACTTTAAACATTATTTCTCTTAACAGTTTTTCAGTAACAGTGTCTAAAGAATACAATATTTAAGGGATATACAAAATCACCTTAGGGAATTACTGCAAGATGCTACTTTGCCAACGAGGCCTAGCATCTGTCTTAGTTCGTTTTCCCTTCATCTTTGCTTTAAAAAAGCAAACAAACAACAACAACATAAACCACCTAGGAGGTGAGGCAGGTGATTGTCTTCATGAGCTATATTTGATATACAGAATGTGACAGAAGATGAAAAAGAAAAAAAATGACATATTTAAAAAGCTAAACCCAACCACAGAATGCTTCCCATTGTTATGATCCAGTGGAATGCAAGCTAGGAATAGGATAGAACTTGGAAATCCGGCTCTGTGTTGATGGGTTAAGGCATTCCGACTCCCCAGTCATTTTAAAGAATACTTCCTGTTCCTGCAGTTTCCTGGCAAACTCTTCTTCCAGTGTCTTAAAAAGGAAGGAATAAAGAAATTATGTGTTGGTGTACCATATTGTATATAGAATTTACTCTGACAGCCAAGATAAAACTGCTTTTCCAAAACACTTTCTCTTCATACTAAGGAAAACATGACTGTTTAATAATTATAAAATCATAAGCTCAGCACAGCCCCATGTTTAAGACTCAGTCACATGAATGGAAACTTGGATTAATGGCTTAACTTCTCAAAATTACTGAATCATTTAATTCCTTTGCTATACAATACCACCTACCCTACTGTATATGAAGATTAAATGTGATAATGATGTACTTAACACGTACTGAGCACTCTAATAGATGACACCTATTATTAATTATTATCTGTCTCTCTCATATGCACTTACCACTCCCTACTTTTTGTGGTATTGATGTGAATGTTTTCCTTTCCCACTGGATTATAAACTGTTTAAAGGTAATATCTAAATCAGACTTATCTTTACATCCCCATAATAAAGCATAAACAATAAGTGTTTGATAATGTCTGAATTCATTGTAACTTAATCCCACATGTGATGTTTATTAGGAGTTTAGGACTTTGGGAGGTGACTATGTCATAAGGGTGGAGCTTACAAGGGGCTGAAAAGAGTTTAGAGGATACAATGAGAAGCAGCACTCTGCAACCCAGAAGAGGTCCCTCACCAAAACCTGATTCTGCTGGCACCCTGACCTTGGACTTCCCAGTTTTGTGATATTTTGTTATAGTGACCTGATGGACTAAGACAGGTATCAGTGACTACCAACAAGTGATTTAGAGAAAAGTGCTGTGTTCAGGCCAAAAAAAGTACAGGAAAAATATGAAAGGATTCAAGGAGGTTTCTCAGAAGAGGTAAAACACGAGCTTAGTCACGAAGGAATGGTTAGAAGCTGATAGGCAGGACCAGGAAGGCATGCCAAACAGGTGAAGCTAAAACAATGGCACAAAGTCAGAAAACTATGGCACTGGTGTGAGGAATGGTGATTCTACCCATGCTGGAGCATGTATGGGGAACAAAATGGCTAATGGGACAAAAACTAGAAAGGTCCAAGTGTGACACTATGAAGGCTTCAAAGTAAAAATGAGGCATTTATATTATACTATGATGGAACTAATGATTAATCAGCACCACTATGACAGTTTTGGAGTTGTTCTTGAGGATACACACTCTGATGACTGCATGCTAGTAGGAAGAAAGGAAAGGGAACTAGAGGGCAGAGGGCCCATGAGGATACTACTAAACAATTTCCATAAGCAGTGGGAAAGAGAAGGAGAAATATTATAAAAACAGTCAAAATTAACTGGCATCTGATTGAATGTGGAGTATTACAGAAATGAAATTAGTTTAGGTTTCTAGCTTGAATGTCAAGAGGAAGGAATGTAGGGAATGTAGGAAGAATGGCTGGAGTTGAAGGGAGGAGGGAAAGGTAAGACATGTGAAAGAGGAAAAAGGATGCAAAGTTTGGTTTGATATCTGCTGACTACTTGTCTGCTGACTACATTCTTTAGCCCATTTTGCAAGGTATGTACTGATCATTTACAACATGCCAGGAACTACTCTATTCTAGTAGCTCAGTATGTATTAGTGAATGAAGAGATGATGTCACAGCTTTTAAGGAGCTTATATTCTCCTAGAAAACACAACAGACAAATTTAAAGATGAATGTTATAAAGAAAAATAAAGAAGTGATCAAAAATAGGACTCACTGATGATACTTAAACAGAGGCCTGAATAAAGTGAGGAGAAACAAAATATCCAGATAGAAAATGGCAGCATGATGCTCAAACTGATTATAAAACCAATGAACAACAACATATTACTTCTTTTAGCTTTCTTAATAACCCTAATTAGGTAGATAGTATCACCCTTATTTTTCACATAAGGAAAACTGGACCTAGAAATTTTAAATGATAAAATTTTTCAGTGTCAGCACTGAGATTTGAACACGTACCTGTATGATTTTAAGAGTTCATCCTGCCCAACTCTACTATTTTAGTTTTGTAACTGTCCTTAAATATGCAACAGCTAAGACCATGACATACAATATCATGCAGGGAAAGAACAGAAATGGTAAAACTCAGACACATCTATGTTTTAGGAGATTGGAAGACAAATAAAAGGTAACAAAGAAAAGCAAAAAATGGACAGAAATGTCACAAAGGCAGGGTGAGAAGAAAATTTTTTAAAAATAACATTTTTGATGACAACAAATACAGTCAGGGAATTTAATTAGCAACTCACTCGTGACCCTGTCAACAAGGCCTATGAGGCAGAAGCTAGACTGTAAGGAATTAAAAGTGAAACTGGAGACAAAGTATTTATTACTGTTTGCTCTTCTATCCCCTTAGAGCTCGGAACCAGTTGAATGTTATTACTTTTTCAAAAAACTTAAAAATAAATAAAACTTAAAAACTATACTCTGGGGCTGGGATTGTGGCTCAGCGGTAGAGTGCTCGTCAGGCACATGCAAGGCCCTGGGTTCGATCCTCAGCATCACATAAAAATAAATAAATAAAGGTATTATGTTCAACTACTTCTAAAAAATAAATATTAAAAAAAAAAACAAAACTATACTCTTAACTGATTCTGTAAACCTTGGGCACATAGTAGGGGCTAAATATATATTTCCTTGACTGACTGATCAGAAGAATGGAACAAAGGACTGGCTGACATACAGCAAGCTGGAAGGGCATGAGAAAATAAGTTCAAGTTTGAAGGTTAACAAAGAGAAAGGCTCACAGCAAGGTAACCAAACAGAGTTGAAATAGTTAGCCAGTGAGACCAAGGACATAGAGTACAAACAAGAAAAATGGAGGGAGGAAAAGAGGGAGGAAGAAGGGAAGCCATTCCTATTTTCCTAGATTTTAAATTTACACAGCTTATAAGGGCTTAGTCAATCTGAACCTGTCCAGACTCAGTGTCATCATTTCCTTTCTTTCTCCCTCCCTAATGCCCCCACACAGGAATCCCTGGCCCCCACATCGTCTAATGATAGGGAACTACTTGCAATTCTCTGAATATATCATTTTTATTCATTCTCTTTTTTCTACTTAAACTGTCCCATTCCACTCCAATCTGCCTATCCACCCTGCAAGCTCTTACTCACCCTTTAAGACTCACTTGTCTTATAAGATACTTCCTCTCTCTACAGCTTTCCCTGACGTCTCCAGGAAAATTTAAGCATTCCTCTTCCTTTGCTTGTGCATTCTGCTCCCTTCCCTTGTACCCTGTACTTACCTCCTTCAGACAATGATTCCCACCAATTTAAAATTGCCGTCTTTTAGGGATAAGGACTTTGTCTTTTCATCTCCATCTCTTGTCCCTGACACTGTTCCTAACACACAGCAGGCAAAGAGCCAATAGCTGGGTAATGGATGAGTAAAAACATAACATTTTAAGTAAAGCTTTTAAAGTCACCTTTTTCCTAGGTCTCAATTTCTCTCTCCATTCCTTTAATTCTTGGCTATGTTCTTCATCTAACTCCTTGAGTTTCTGGGTCTCATGCTCAACCAACAGGTGGCATTTTTCATTCTGAAAATAAAGTTTGGATTTAAAAAATGTTAGATCAACCAAGTAATTTTACACAAATACCATCGTCTTCCAAAATAATAAATTATTCATCATCAACCTATTACTGAAGTACAAATTTTCCTCTAAAAACCAATAGCCAAAAACTATGAAATAAGTAGACATACTTTTATAAGTTTAGAAATTAGATTGGTTCACAAACTATCTAAAAAGAACTTAACAGAAAGAATTAGTTTGGGTCTTTGCTTTTTTTCCTTTTCACCAGCTGGTACCAGGAAGTGGAATTAGGATGTATTCTATTCCAGTATATTATAAGCAAATGTAGAGTAATCCACAAGGTTGATACTACTATGAAACTTTAAACATTTTAGATTATATATTAGCAGGGCTGCACACTTCAGGCGAGGTCCAAACACAGCCCTCTCTATAAAGAAACCTTTACATATCTTAGGAAGAAAATTCCCATATATTTAAATTACCTTCCCCCCCACACACAAAAAAAAAAAAAATAGAAAAAAAATCAATTTTAAAAGGAAAATAAATTTTAAGTTCAGAATCTAACAAAAAAATTACCTTCATCATTTTGAAAGATTCACATCATCTTGCAAAATATACTAAAAATCATACTCAAAATTGTTTCTGAAAGATTCCACTTCTTAGGCTATAATTTAGCTTCATGATCACATTAATCATGTTATATAAAATATAAACAAATACCTATGATACTAAATTGATCCTCATTTGGGTCTTCGCAGGAAAGACAACCTTTCAATCCCAGCATTTTTAGAAATAACATGCAGTTTACTTTTGTTAGCTATTATTTTCTCTGAACCATCCACTTGAGCTGCCTAGTTCTGTTGTCATGCTTCTGCCTCTAAACTGCAGTTGGGGGCTAGGAATGTAGCTTAGTGGCAAAGCATTCACCTAGCATATGCCAAGCCCTGGGTTCAATTCCCAGTACTGCAATCAATCAATCAATCAATCAATAACCTGCAGTTGGTGCAATTCTCGGACATTGGCTTCACACTGCAACTGAAGATCCCGCATTTGATTTTCATGTTTTTGATGTTGAGCCATTCTCTCATTTTTCTGCCTCTTTTCTTCTTGTGCAGCAAACTACAAAGAAAAACCAAAGATAAATTACAATTAACAATCAATATAATTTCTACACATTTTAAAGGTGTAATTAAGAAATTTAACAAAACTTAGAATACAATAAACTAAAGATGCAAGAAATAATATGCTATGACTCAGAATTGGAGTCTACATGATGACCTGGGTAGGGGCATATTCTAGAAATAGAACAACTTCTGATTAAAAATCTTGATTCTAACTGCTTAGTGAACTCATTTAATTTGTGTGAGATTTGTGATTGCAAGTTTTATAGTGAAGACATGTTTTGACTTAAAAAGTTATTCATGTCATCTCATTCCCAGGACCCAAGCTCTGTTGTGCAGCATGGGAAGGAAGGCTTTGCCCTCTAGGGTCACCACCCTGGAACAACTAAGTTACTACATATCATGCGCCTAGCTCAAGGTCTTAAAGTGAATATTGACAATTCCAAGGTAGGACTAAATGTTTATAACCAATTATGTAGCATTTCTAAAGAGCACTCATATTTTCAAAACCTAAAAATGAAGAGAATAATTTGCTTAATTTACCTGTTTAATTTTGTCTCGGTCCTGGTCTGGTGTGGCTGTTGAGTTAATTCTCAAACTTTTTTTAAACATGGCCATTCGAGTCTTGGCTTCACTACGCTGAATCTTGGGCAGCCTCGCTCTTTCTTGAGTCTGTCTGTTTTTCAATTCCTCAATAAGTCGTTGATTGTAACGCTGCATTTGTTCTGTTTCCTAAAAATGTTTTAAACAGAATCCAGTAAAGTAAATATTATTTAATACATAGTTCCCACACATATGTTCAAAGATTTCACTTGTTTTTCCCATATCTCCCTTTACTATCTCCCTTATTGTACTGTGACCAGCAAGATATTGGGCAAAAAATAACTTGTAAGAAAAGTAAAGTTATTAGTGGTAAGAGAGTCTTATACTGAAATTCTTTTACTAAGTACAGGGAACCTACATTTTTTACTTGAACCACAACAGGAACCAAAATATCTACTTCTGAGATACAAAATGTAGATTACAACATAGAGGTCATTAGACATTGTAATTAATTATCATCCTTGTATTTATAATAATGACCAAGATATAATTACTTCAAACTTCATTAAATAAATCAGAATAAGAGAAAAAGAAATAGAAATGCATTCTTTAAGAAATAGAAGCTTCAAAATGAAATAGCTTCATAAACTTTAAAAAAGAACCAAAAAATTTAAAAAAAAAAAATTAAGGAATTTTCCTTTCATTAACCTTTTCATGGCGCTTTAGTAGCTGATGTCTTTGCATGAAATACTGATCTTTAAGTTGCTGTTTCAGCAGCTGGTGTTTTTCTTGTAAGTGCCGTTCTTCAAGCTCCCAAATTGCAGCTTCTCGAGCTAGAAGAAAATAATTTTCAAAAAGTCACTTTGCTCTTTTTACTAATATACTTTGATCTTCATTTTAATATTTACATAAAAGTTTTATCTATATACTAACTTATATACACAAATGGATACTATGAGCTATAAATAAAATATTATCAATGTGAATATCCATTATCATTCTTAATTCTGTTTTAATATCCTATAAACTGAGAATATTCCACTATAAAAAACCAAATTCTTGGGGCTGGGGTTTTGGCTCAGCAGTAGAGAGCTTGCCTAGCATGTGTGGGGCCTTGGGTTCAATCCTTAGCACCACATACAAATAAAATAAAGGTATTGTGTCCAACTACAACTAAAAAATAAATATTTAAATAAATAAATAAAATGAATGAATGAATGAATAAGAACCAAAATTTCTCTAAAAAGAAAGAAAAGAAAATCTAAGGTAACTTGTTAGGGAAAATAAGTTCTTAAAATTCCATCCTATTACATAACTACTGACTGTACCAACAATTACAAGGCATAATAAATACTCAAAATTATTGAGATATATTTGTAGCATTATCTGTACAGAAAAACATTTTTTCCATTTTTTTTTTGTTTGTTTTGTTTTGGGTTTTTGTGTGTGTGGTGCTAGGAATGGAACTCAGGTCCTATCACATGCTAAGCATGAGGTTTTACACACTGAGCATCAGCCCCTAAATTATTTTATGCTGTCTCTTTTTTATCCTGAGGTACTGAGGATTGAACCTGAGGGTGCTTCACCACTCAGTTACATAACCTAGTCCTTTTTTAAAATTCAATTTTGAGACAGGGTCTCCCCAAGTTGCCAAGGCTGGCCTGAGTTCTGGAGCAGCTGGGGGTTATAGGTGTGTACCACCATGCCCTGAGCCAGCCTTGTTTTAAGTGTTTATAGTCACTTCTACTTTCATAAAGGAAGTCTATATCTTGTAGTATTTCTTAATTTTAAAAGACTTTTTTCTCATTTACTAAAGAAAGATAGCTTTCTTTAACTTTCCCTTTATTGCCCTAGCAAAGTAAAACATTTAAATATTTCCAAGGTATACCTCGACAATGTTTCTGAGATACCATTTTATGTATACACACTTGCTGTAAAACTTCATATACCTCTCATGAGCTGCTGTTTGTTATTCAGGCACTCTCTCTCGATATTAGCCAACTCTGCCTTCTGCTGTTGGATGATCTTTTTCAAAGAGCCATCTAATTCTTGTTGTTGCTTCTGAACAAATTCTTGTTCCTATTAGACAGTTAACCGTCAGTTAATAAGTGTCTACAGAACTAAATATCCATTTATTTATATGACTGTATATATTAGTAATTAACAAGATTTCTTTTTATCTTTCGGAGGTGCTGGGAATAGAATCCAAGATCTTGAGCATCCTAGGTGAGCACTCTACTACCACTGTTAATCTTATTAACTTCCCCAGCAGTTAACAAGATCTCTAAACCAAGTTTACAAAGTTAGCCAGATTTTAAAATCACCCAAATTATATAGTGCATATGTAGTATACATGTATTAGTCATCCAATTCAACTTTGAAAAAAAATTAGAATGCATAATATTCTAAATTCACTATTAAGAATGACACACATTCATAATTAAAATGCCCTATTACACTAGCAGCTTTTGGAAAACAATAAGTTTACAGCTTCTAAAACTGACTATTCCCTCTAATATGGAGCAACTCCTTCTAATATGGAATGACACGAACAAAAATATATAAGAAATGTCTTTTAGGAAGAAAGGCAATGAAAGAGCTGAAAAGTAAAACAAATGTCAGAATTTTAAACTTTATTTTTCTAAGAAATAGAGTAAGTGAAAAATACTAAGCCTGCACAACAAAGAAATACAGTTTCTATTTTCTATAGCCTATTACAAAAGAAGAACAATAGTTTCAAAACTTAATAGAATGTATGACTAAAGAAATATAAACTAGGATTAGAAAAGAGAGTTACATATAAATATATAAATAAAATTCTTATAATCACAAGATTCTACCAACATGTTTGGGGTTTACTAATTCATTCAACAAGTATTTGCTGAGTACATATGACATGCCAAATTTATGCTTTAAAAAAAGTAAATTTGGATCTCTATCCCTCGCTTGGCAATGATAGCAATTGGTGATTAACTCAAGGGATATGCTGATCAATTTAACTGTGGATTTAGGGTTGAAGCAGCACTTTACCATAATCCCCCCTCCTGTATATCTAAGAGAAGATCAAACCCCAAAATCTATTTTGGAACCATTTGTTGGGTTTTGGACAGTCTGACAAGGTCTGAATCACTACTAACCTGGTCCTGAGTGTACATAGTAGTCTAGCAAGTTCTTCAAAATATTTGCCTTACAATAATGTCTCTGGAAGTGATCAGTTCAGGCTGTTTCTTCAAAGTAATTTAAGTCATAAGTGTTGCTGTTTCAGCATCATTTGTATTTTAGCATGAATACAAATATACAGTAGCAGAAAAAAAAAGACTAATGGGTTGCCTCTTCAAAATACAATTATCTGCTTATCTACAGTTACCTATACAACTTTATCATAGGCAAAATTTTTCAATGAATACTTAAATTCAATAGGACTAAAGAAGTGTGCCCTGAAGCAGCTAATACATAGAAGGTAAAGGGCTAAAATGGTTATATACAACCAGGTAGAACTAATGGTATGCTGCTACAAAGGTAAAAATCTAGAATATGGAGTTTTAATTTTATTAAACAGATGCAAAATCTCCATGCTTATCTTTCACACAATTACCACAAAGAGAGTTCAAGATTCTTATTTTCTAGCCAGGCATGATGGCACATACCTATAATCTCAGCAGCTCAGAGGCTTAAGCAGGAGGATCACAAGTTCAAAGCTGGCCTCTGCCACTTAGTGAGGCCCTAAGCAATTTATCAAGACCCTGTTCCCTGTCTCAAAATAAAAACTAAAACCAGGCTGGGGATGTGGCTCAGTGGTAAAGTACCTCTGAGTTTAATCTCTGGTACCAAAAAAAAAAAAAGATTTTTTTCCCCTACAATAAATATTTGTAATAAAAATTGTTTCTCTAACTTCAATTACAGAATTTCTATATGCAACTTGTTTAATAAACTTATAACCTGCAGATATATTAAAGGGTTTCTTTTGTTTAACATTTTTAGTGTTGGTTTGCAAAAAGGATTTTTAAAAGATGCCTGCATGAGGAAAGATGATAGAATGAGATGGACATTATCACCCTAGGCACATGTTGGCTGCACATATGGTGCGACTCTACATCGTGTACAACCAGAGAAGTGAAAAGTTGTGCTCCATTTGTGTACAATAAATCAAAATGCATTCTGCTGTCATGTATAACTAATTAGAACAAATTAAAAAAAGAAAAAGAAAAAATACCTCTATGGACAGAATCAATGGTCTAACTTAACTAGTATATACATATGAAGACTTGAAGTCAAATGCAAAGGTATAGAATGGAGTCAGTAAATGTGCAATTTCTTATCTATGCAATTTTGGGACATATTACTATAATACATTTATATGTATAGATTACACAAAGAGGTCAGGTCCAAAGAAAACCTTCATTCAGCATTCTGTAAACGCTGGACATTGCACTAAAGTTATAGACTATTAAAATTAATAAAAGACAGTTTTGCCTTCAAGGAGCTTCTACTCTATTGGTCCCAACTACCCCTAGTCTTGGATTGTCAGTTCCTTCCCTTAGTATCATACTTTCAAAAGTTCAAAATTAAACCACAGAAAACTCAAAGCTGGAGATAAAGAGTCCAGAAGCCATGCCCTACAATGACTAACAGTACTACAGAAGTGTACCCTAAAGCAGCTAAAACATAAAGGGTAAAGACAGTTACATAGAAGCAGGCAGAATTTTTACCTTCAGGTGCTCCAGAAGGTAAAATAAGGATCACCAAATAAAAATTAAGGTAGGCAGTTACAAATCCAATAAACAGATGCAGTTTCTAACAATCAGAGTTAGCAAAGAACCCAGGTGCCTCGGAGTTGAATAAGCAAGCAGGATCTGAACAATGATGTAGTCAGGTATAATACACAAATAATTTTTTATGTTAAAGCTAAAAATTATCTGACAATGTCCTTCATACACAAATTAATATATTTCATCACCTCAAAAAAATGAAATTCTACATTATAATACATTCATTAAATTTTCTAACATCAAAGTCCAAGTACAATACATTCACAATGGAATTTACAATTAGAAATTACTCTTAAGAACTTCTAAGAGAAATTAAACATTTCAAAAATATTGCACAAATTACCTTTTAAAAAAAGATGTTTAAATCACTAGAAATAACAAATAAAAGACAACAAAATAACTCAAAACTATTAAGACCAAAAGTCATTTTTTAAAATGGGTACATAAATTATAAAATGAGTGTCCTTTAAAAGTACACGTTTAAATTCTATTAGGGAGTTTTATAATTAATTAAATTACTATAAGCATTAAAACTACAACTTTGGGTTCTAGAAAACTATAAGAAAGAAATATGATATACCGGACTATTTGATCATTTTAACTCAGATTTGCTCAAAAATGGTAATGATCAGAAAAGTGATCGTAATTCATAATTTCTCCCTCGTTAAAAAAATATTTTGCTTACTCTTTTAGAAGATGATAAGACTTGGACATCTGCCAGTAATTTAAAAAAGAAAGTCTAATTTTGAGAGGGGGGAAAAGGAAGGGTTGAAATCAAGCTGTATTCTCTCTACTCCAGTTGTATATATCAAACCACAAATAAAAATTAAAATTTTAAATGAACTAGTCTTCCCTATGGAAACTGTGAGAAAGAATACAGCCTAAAATTCCAGACTTAATTTACAACTATAAAGAATAGCAACTCACTGTTCATTATTAAGAATTTGAACAAATGAAAACTAGAGTTAAATCTAAAATCACTACTTTTACTATGGCTTTTCTGACCATATCCATAATTAAAACATCTCCATAAACATATGCAATCAAAAGGTCACTTCACACAAAGATAAAAATCTGATCACAGCATTCAATTTCTCACATGTGCAAAGCTTATAAAATACTATTGCAAAGATATTTTACTTCTTTAAAAAGATGAAGATTTCAAATTAAAATTTGTGGTGGAATAGATAGAAAAAAAGAACACTGTATTAGAAGTGTTCTAGTTCCAGCTCTTCCATTAATTTCTTATGTGACTTTAGGCCAATCATTTAGTCTTCTGTGACTCAATTTCTTCATCTGTATAATAGATACATTCCATCCCATTTTAGGATAGTGGCAGTGATAATCAGATGTGAAAACTCTCTGAAGAATAAAGTTCATGTCAGGCTATTATTGCCAATACTGACATTATCATCTATCAGTCTTCTAGATTTTAGCAAATGAAGTCAACAATGAAAAGGCACATGTGAGTCAAAGAAAGAGTGGGTAAAACAGGAGAAGGCATCCTCCCACAAGCACGCGGGACTTACGTCCTGCATTTGGGCGTTGAAGACTGCACAAGAGGACAACTGAAAAGACTGAATCATGACCTGAGCAACACCCTGTGGATCAGAATACAATGCACCTCCCAGATGAGAATATATCTGAATGACTTTCATAAATGGAATGAGTAATTACACAAATGTTAATTTCTCGGAGCCTAGATCAACTCAATTGACAGAGGGGCCTCTTTCTCATGCCTTGAATAAAGTTTTTGAACTAGACCAGTGGTTTCCAGACTCTAGTGTGTTGCCATTGTTTTTTTTAAACCACTAGTATTCCCTTTTCAAAAACTCATCCAAAAAAATCTTTATAAACAGATTTAAAAAGTGGTGCTACTTTAGTTGAGATAGAATCAGGGACCCACAGACCCAACATTCCTTGACTTTTGAAGAGCTCTTGGGAGAACAGACTGAAAACCACTGGACTAGGTGATTAAATATGTTCTAGCTCCACAAGAATATAGCTAATATTTCTTAATTCTAAAAAGAAAAAAAGTTTAAAATAGACTGTAGAGTTATCAAGTTTTAGAAACTTTGTCAAAGGAATAAATACTTTTGAAACCTGTTAGATTTTAAACACTTCATTAAGTTTACAGAAAGAATTTACTATTATTTTCAGCTTTAGTTGGAAAATATAAAAAGCCCACAAAATTCAATGAAAAATCACCAAGAAGACTTATTAAAGCAAAGAATCACCTAATTCATTCTACACTAAATTCTCAGATTCAACTCTACAGTTTAATATATTACCTTTTAGAATTTAAATGAACTTAGAATTTAAATAGTCTACATTATGTTATAAGGCAAGCTATATTGTTATTTATTATATGGTTTGAAATTCAAATTAAGCAAAAGTAGGTATGTGGCCATCAAGGAATTCATCTTTACTTTAGTCACAAGAAATGGCTAATAACCACTGTACCAAGTAGATGAGAGTTTAGATGAAGCACAGAGTGAGAGTGAGTAGCTTAAATCAGAGGTAATATGGTATGTTGTACGGAGATTCAATATATGAAATATGCATATAAGTCCCCCCTTTTCTGGATGAAAATATTGGCTCAACCAGTAATCAGATGTGTGATCCTGAGAGTCACTCAACATTTCTGTTTGGTTACCTTACCTCTAAAATGGGAGTAATGTTTATTCTGAGATTGAATTCAAATATTTAAAATTTAGAACAGTGCTTGGCACATAGTAAATGGCTAAGCATTACCTTAAACTAGTAATCCTTACACCAGGCCAAGATGAAATCTTTCACTGCCTCATAGCAAGCAAAACAAAGGGCAAACTAATTCTACTCAAGTAAGTTAGTGGTACTAAAATCTTAATTCTAAGATTTTATTTTCCTTATTTTTCTTAACATTATAATATTCTCTCCTCTGAAATGATAGCAACAAGTAAATGGCAAATTTAAAATATCTTTACTCGGCACAAAAAACATTAATGGAAATCCATGTCACTGCCTCCACTAGTTTTTGTTGATTCTGTTTCTTTTTATGGGGTCTATAAAATCTAAAAATTTGTGAGTCACTTTTTGAATCACATAAAACCATATTAAATGGATAAGTCAAAGTAACAATTAATATGAATCCATATCTCTTCTTTGTTTAACTGACATATGCAAACTTAAAATTGAATTTATTTCTCTTTCCCTTCAGGCTTAATATGAATTTAAAGATTCTTAGTATAAGAACTTTGTAAAGCTACATGCAGTGGAAAATTCTGTTAAAAATACTAATTTATTGGGCTGGAGATGTGGCTCAAGAGTGAAATGCTTACTTTGCATGGGTTCAATCCCCATATTACAAAATAGAAAAAAAAACTAAAACTAATATATCTAGTTTTGTAAATAATGTCCACATGTTAAGATAAAGCCTTATCATAACCTAGAATCAAGTTTATTTAACTCCATATAGGTAAAAATTGTCTATTTAATTTCTCGATTTTGAATCAAAGAGATAAACAATATACTTAACATTTAAAATCTGAATTTAAAATTGTTTATGTGGTCAAGCTTAGAAGTAATAAATGTTTGATCTACCATTTAACATTACCAATTTCCATTTTTCTTCTAACTTTGAGCTTTATAGAAATAATGGCCTTTTATTTCCATAAATAATGGCAATCTTTTCCTAAGCACAATGCTTATATACTCACCCTCTATTTTTCTGTTCTAAAAGTCTGCTATCAAACATAGGCATTACTACATAAAATTTAAGATTCCATCATAATTAAAATTTGGATAACAGTGGATTTTGCATATATTTGTTTCTTTCATCTTAAGTCAACTTTCTAAACATTCCACTTGATCATATCAGCAATTTAAATGTCACCAATAGTGTGAACTTAGCACTATGAAAAGAAGCTGGGAATCTATGGATGCGGAGAAGTGCGACTTAATGATTACAGTTGAAGTCTTCCCTTTCAATCACAGTTTACTGAACTGAGAAAATGCTGCTTTCTGTTTTTAGTAGCATTAAGCTGCTGCTGTTACCTGAGCATGCTGGCTTTGTGCAAGCTCCTCTTTCCTGCGTTTCATGAGCTCTTTTCTCAGCTCTTTGGGTGCTTTCTCCACTTCATTTATAACCTACAGTGTATAAGCATGCAGGAGGTGGAGATATAATGCTTTCTCCACAGCAAGCATTTATGTGAGCAGATAAGCTATAGGTCAAATATTCAAGTTGTTAGAAAGTTTCTTTCAACATGCATTAGCATAAGTGTTAGTTTGGTGAAAAAGAATAAAAGGATAGAACATGCTTGATCTCAGTGCAGAAAGGTACACTGTACCATACAAAGGTTAATTAGTTGCTTAATTATCCCTATATATCATTTTCTCTCTTAAAAAGACCCAAAGACAATCAGTGAAGAATTACTCAGAACACTAATGCTGAAGTAAAGATGATAAGCTCAACTGACCTTGAAAGATCATAAAATTGCAAATGTTTTCTACTGACATTGTTTGAAATACTGGACATAAGAAAAGTTAATGCCATTTATAAAAGTGCAAATTTTCATAACTGGCTTCATAATACCAAAGAAATAACTCTAAATGAAATCCACATAATGAGACTGAAAAAAAGAAAAGAAAAAGCAAATCTTACAGTATACAAAGGAGAAATAAATGGATAATAAAATACACCTTTTTATACATGGTGAGATTAAATGAACATAACTGATGACTTTGTGGAATTAGAACAACATTCTCCTTTGCTGACAATTTATTAAGCTTGTCAACTTTAAAATCAGTAACATGAGTACTCTAAAATAAGTTTAATAAACTATGATTTATTATAGTTTATCATATATTAATAATATCAAATATACTTATTAATATATTAATAGTATAGTAATACTATTATAATTACTATACTAATAGTAATTAGTCTATTTATTAATATAAAATATATTATAAAATGAAGTATATTTTAGAGTTCCTTCTTTAAAACATTTCAAAATCCTAGATATGAATTCCATCTACCAATATAGATCTGTAATCTAACATGAAAAGCAATCATAAATTTATAAGTAGAAGCACCAAAGAAACCAGATTCCAAATCACCACATGCCATTGATGGTCCAAGAAAGAGACTGATTTTGATGTAATAGTGCACTTAAAATTTCCCATCAGTAATCCCTCATGAAACCAAATCACCAATAAAAGGAAGAGACGCCCCAAATGCAAGAAGTTTAGCAATAAGGGAAAAATACATAATATAGTTATTTAAAATATGCAATCATGATCTCAAATATGTTCACCAGCTAAAGTTCTACCTCAAAACAATAACTAAAGGCTTATTTATTTAGGATTAAGTTATATATTTACCCATAAAATATTTTTAATCTGATACAAAGAATAGCCTCTTAATCAAACTACCCATGGTTTCAAGAAAAATTGCAAATACCCTCATCATGGAATATACAGCAGTTCTATATAAAACATATAATAAACAGTAATAAAATTAATTTTTAGAAGTGGTAGCTTCATCTACAAACCATTTTATTCATCTTTACCTAAAGAAATCATACACACACTATATTTATGAATCTTCAATTCTATCCCATTTTAAGCACATCCTTAAGATTTAGAAGCATTGTTTGAATTTCTTCATAATTTAAATATTAAAGTTGATAAATCTGAGTATTTAAGAAGTATAAAAAAAAGAGAAAAAGCATTCACTAGTTGAGATTTTTTTTTTTTTCCTGGTCCTAATAGAATTCATTATAATTATTTCCCTGGGGTCTTTTAAATCATGAAAAGGTTAACTCCTCCTCCTACTGAAGATGCAGAATTAATCATAAAATTATCTCTGAAAATTACTTAGGACACAAAGGTCTTGTGGTTTTAATTTGAGGACACACAGACACAACAATATATGGAAATCCTTCTTACAAACTGATGACACTCTTTTATAATAAATAATACTACAAATAAATTCTACAACAATATGGAAAGATTTCAGGAAAGATGGAAAAACTCATTCTAGTCAAATGACTTTACATATATTTTGCAGTTTTGATTTTTCAAACTACGTTGCAATTTGATAAACTTAGATATTATTTTTTAAATTTCAAGTTATTCAATTGTTTGGGACAATGTCTAAGAAAATCAATAAAGCTAATCAAGAAAAACTGTGCTAAAAGTATGAATTAAAGATGACATGCAAATAATTAATAAATAATAAAATGAATTATAGTTGTTTCAGGGAAAATAACAACAAAATAAGTTTTCTTCGAAAAAAAGTCCTATGTAAGTAAGGTCTTAAGTGTTGCATTAATAAAAGAGGAATGGTAGATTAGAACAAGGACTAGATTTTATTTAAACATTCAGTTCAAGGTTTAGCCAGACATTTAGTGTCAGTCTGTGAACCTGATTAGGCCACTGAAACCTCTTTAACTCTAGTTTTCTTGGCAGTAAAATAGGGATTACATCTAACTTTACTGCTACCATCCCGCATCACTGTTGCAAAGACAGGCCTAAAGAAAGACAGCACTATTTGACTCTCATTTATTACTCCTAATTCCTCAGACAGCATTAAATTTACACTTTAAAAATAGATTTAAAAATGAAAAACAGTAGTTACACTTACCTCCTTCTTTCGGTTCTTCAGCATATTCTGAAATTTGGATAGCTCTTTTTCTTGTTCTCCTTTAATGCGTTTGGCTTCATCTCGTAGGCGATTTGTGTGTTCTTGTTCTAGTCGTTCAATAGTCTGTTTCTGCTGCTTTTCTAGATTCTCAATTTCCTGGTCATATTGTCGCTTTTTACCCTGTAAAACAATGTACTGTAATGTAAGATCATTTAATTCTATCACCCATATTAACTCATTAGTAAGTACAGTGAATATGTTTACTAAGAGCACATAACTAGTATTTAAATTTAGTAATATGATATAACTTTTGCCATGATGAACAAATCAAATGAACTAAAACAGTTTACAAATTTTTTCAAAAAAATGAATAACATTTATAACATGTTAAATATTTTTACTTCTACTATAGAGGTAGCACAGTTTTTAAATTTTTTAGAGAACCCAGAAGAATACCCAGTTGCTTTGAATTTACTCAAGTAAACTAGAATAATATCAGTATTCATTCAATAAATTTGTGTTTTTGTTAATCAAAGGGTTCATTTGAAGTCATTTTAATAACATCATTTGTCATTTTTAGATTTACTTTTCTTCATTATGACTCTTAACATTCTATTCTATTGAAACAAAATTTGAATTATATATCTACTCTTTCAACAAAAGACTCATGTAATATTTGAATAATAATGCAATTTTGAATAATAGGTATGGTTAAAATATTTGTAAAGGACATTTTCTTTTTCAAAGAAACTTGAAAACAAAACATTTTGGAAAAGAGAATATAACCAGTTTTCAATGAGGAAAAAAAACTTCATTATTTTCTTAGGAATTTGTATTAACAATCTAATACAAGTAATCAACAATGCCACACTTCACACTAAACAATCCTTACCACTTAAAATTACAACACAGAAAAAGGACTATATTTAAAACTTGAATACTATTTCGAATGATTTTTTCTAACCTACCTTAAGCCATACATTCAATATAAAGTTATCAAAATTTTGTATCACATTAATAATTCCTTTTCTGGGGTTGGGACTGTGGCTCAGCGGTAGAGCACTTGCTTAGCACATGTGAGGCCCTGGGTTCCATCCTCAGCACCACATTTAAAAAAAAATAAAATAAAGATATTGTGTTTAACTACAACTAAAAAAAATAAATATTAAAAAATAATAATAATTTCTTTTCCAATTCTGGATACAAATAAAAAACAATTACCCTTGACTATTCAGCAATGTTTTCTTTAGCTGCAATAATAAGGAAATGGAAGCTTAACTATGGGAGCCAGTGAAACAAGTAAAGTTTGAAAAGGGTCCCCATAGGTTCTAACACTCTGCCAGCTTTGAAGAAACTGCTCTAGAAGGGTTAAAATTTTGGATTCTACACTGAAAGGTTGAATTGAAACACTGAAAAATTATCTGGCAGTAGATACATCTAAGAACTTCATAAACCATCTATTGGTTTCATGATTCTAAGTTTTCATGACAGATTTTATCTGGGAAAAAAATCATCACACGATAAATCAGTAAAAAGATTGGGATTCTTTAAAAAAAAAATAATAATTTTTTTAAAACAGGCATCCAGAACACCAAAGCAATGAAGGCCAAAAATACATACAAGACCAAGAACATCTAATAATCAGAGAACAAATTCTGAAACCTGCTGGTGGGTTTTATTAAAAGCATTAAATTTCATTAACAAAATGGCACAAAAATCTAAGACTTTACCATCATTTCTTGCTCAAAGCGCCGGAATATTTGTTCTCGTTGTTGCTGCAGCTTGCTATTGAGCTGTTGCTGGGCTCTTTGCTCTTCTTTCTGAAGAAATCTTAACTCTCGAAGTTCCTGACGTCTGTGACAAAAAATAATAATTAACAACAGAGAGGAAGACAGAAAAAAATTACACCTATGAAATAACATTTTTTAAGACCCAATTTTTAAATGAAAAAGAATATGTTGTCTACTCACCTGAGAAACCTCAATTCCTCAGTTTTGGAGTCACTGTCTGTAACTATCTTCGATGTTGTTACACTCACTTCTACACCATCGACAATAAATTTGCGTGTTTTCTTCAATGTTTTCTTTTGTCTTCTTGTTTCCTGAGTGAGATTTTTACTTTAGTTAGGTTTTATGTAAGGAATACTGAAGAAATGAAACATTTTTTTCTTCAAAAATAAAAATAGGGCTGGGGATGTGGCTCAAGCGGTGGCACACTCGCCTGGCATGCACGGAATGCTGGGTTCGATCCTCAACACGATATTAAAAAAAAATAGAGTAAAGATATTGTGTCCACCTAAAACTAAAAAATAAATATTAAGGGGCTAGGGATGTGGCTCAAGCGGTAGCGCGCTCGCCTGGCATGTGTGCGGCCCGGGTTCGATCCTCAGCACCACATACACACAAAGATGTTGTGTCCACCGAAAATTAAACAATAAAAATTATTAAAAAAAAAAAAAATAAAAAAAAATAAATATTAAAAAAAAGTTAAAAATAAAAACAGATGCACAGCCCTGACAATTATACATGTGAAATAAGAATATAAAGCAGGGAGACTAGCCACTAACCCTTAAACTTTGACCTCCGAACTCCACCTCCTTTATGGATAAATTCAATTTTTTTAAAAAGTAAAATTGGGCATTTTGATTACATACATACATAACTTCTCTGACACTACATAATTAGGAACAAGTAAATGTTTTACATAAATGGATAATTAGTATAACTTACATATCAACCACTTTTTCTTCATCTTTTCATTTTTGTGATTTCTCAGATACCTCTGCCTTTTTACTGACAAAACACTTCAAAATGAATTCCTGGGACTTATCCCTTAAAATATCTAAATCTATAAATCTGAGGGCAGCTGGCAATTTTTTTTGAAAAGGTTCTCTGGTAAGTTTAAACACTGTCAGGACAGGGAATCAAAATCTATTTAACCAACAGCAATAATGCCAAAAGCACTCCTCCACTAGGGCCAGGGTTGGATGTGTGATTTTATAATTACTAGAAAGACAGTGCCTCTACTATACCCCAAAGCACCTGACCTGCCTACTAGCTACTACCTAAAAACTCTTTATCAAGACCTTTTTAAAAATTCTGTTAATTGCTCAACGGGCACCCAAAATCTTTTAAATGTGTACAGAAATAACAGAAATCTAAAACTCCTACAAACACATTTTGATAAACCCAAATGTGTAAAGAACATACTTGGTTTCAATATGGAGAAGGAGGTTATAGCAGAAAGAGCAAAAGTAAAAACACTAAACTCAAAATGCATTAGCATTTTACGGTTTGCCTCTGGCACCTTTTGATTACCTTTCTGAAAATTCTCTTACTCTTTCATCCTCCAGGACCCACAATCTTCATGCTCCTCTCCCTAGCCCTGGGAAGCTACTACTGGACTACAGTAGCCTCCCCAGACTCCCTCTAAAATTGAACACTGGCATGCTCCAAAAAACTAATCTGCCTCCCTTAATCTCCAACTTTCACATTTCTTCAGTTTCTCCTAAAGTATCCACAATTACTATCTCCATAATTCTCATAGAAGAATTTGCATTTTTAAAAGAGGCTACTAGGTCAGTGAATGAATTTTGGATTGGTGGAATTTCAGTTGGCAAAACAAAACAAACTGAAGAGAAAAGAAAAAGAAGAAAATCCAGGCCAAGTAACACTTTGGAGTGGACAAGTAGGACAATCAGTCGTTCTGTGGAGGTCTGTCCCTATGGTCAGTTTTCCTACGTTGCTTATGCTTGTCAATCTCCTTTTATTTATTAACCCAAAATCTCTAAGAAGTATTTTCCGAAGGGTAATTCATAGCTCAACCTATTGGAACCCCACAGGATCCTTTGTTACAGATACTGATTATCAGGACCCTTCCCAGATTTCTACATAGCTCCCCTCATAATTCCTAAGCACACCAAAGACTTGAGAATTATGCTCTAAAAGCTCCAAATGTTCTAGGTTTTAGTTTTTGGTTTTATTTGTTTTCCCACCTGTATAAGCCAATGGTAAGTGGAGGATTGTTTACCTCCTAAATGTGCTTAAAAATAGATCATTCTTTCAATTTCTCAGTTCTTTCATATATTAGTCATCATTCCTCAAATCGCACCTAGATATGTACAATAAAAGACTGTAAATCAAACTAAGCAACCATATACTGTAATTATCTACATTAGGTGTACAAAAATAGGTAGGTCCTACCAAAAGACTAAAAGAATATAATCAAAATCTCTCTTCCTGGTTCTTTTTAATTGATTGCCTTAATGACCAAGAAAGAACTCAGAAGGTTAGTATTATTACTCTGATTTAATGCTGCTTTATTTTCAAGACATCAATGAACTCTAAAATTGCCAAAATGACAAAAACAAAAACAAACAAAAAAACCCAACCAAGGACCCACATGTACTTACTTGTAAAGATATTGACCCACTGTCTTTAGTTTTACTTAGGAAGCTAGAGATGGATAAATTCAAGTCAATGCTGCTATTATCAGCAGTGGAACCAGTGCCTGAATCAGTATCATTTTCCTTCTGATTCTCAGATTCTGGTAGCAGTATGGTTTCAGTTTTTGATAAAGCACCTATTTCTCCTTTATTTTCTGCATCTTCAGAGTTGATATTAATACTGGGTATTGAAACAGGCTGAGGTTCACTGGGCTTTGAAGTTGCAGGAACTTGAGGTTCTATTTCAATTGGCACTTCACGTGGAATTTCTTTCTTCTCTGTCTCTATCTGAGCAGTGGCTTCCTGAGCATCCTGAGTTTCACTTCCTACAGCCTTTTGTTCAGTATCAATCACTGCACTTCTGACCTCTATTTCTTCAGTGCCACTTAACTCACTAACTTCCTCAACTTCATTTGTCTCTGGTTCTTCATTGGTCTCCAATATGTTCTCTGAACTGTTGACTAGTTGTTCTTCACTTTTAACTTCTACAGATCTTTCATCTACATCTTTAGTCTCAACTATTTCTTTAGTAGGAGGAACCTCCTTAGTACCACAAACCTCAGGACCTTCCATGGGCTTATCTATTACTTTCTGGGCTACTTCAACCACTTCTTTCCCATCATTAGTCTGAACAACCTCAATATTGTTTTCAACTGCCTTCTCAGCAACATTTGTTGCCTCATTTGTCACTTTGCTACTATCTATCACCTTGCTACTATCTACCACGTTGCTACTATCATTGATCATATCATTTTGAGTTCTGTCATCTTTTTCCAATTTCTCTGGGGTGTCCTCCTTTGTAAGCCCAACTTCATTGTCAACTACCAGAATATCTGCCTCTTTTTCCCCAGTCTCTTGAGAAACTAAATCAACTGTCTGAATAGTAGAATCTTTCATTTCTTCAGATTTTATAAATTTATTTTCAAGTATCTGTTGTTTATCCTGATCCTTTTCTCCCTCCTGTTTCCAATTATGTTTGTTATTTGTTTCTAAAATTACTGTTACATTATTCTCTTCTCCTTCATTGACTGAATTAATGCCCACAGCTGCCTGATCTTCTATGTCAGGCAGATTTTCCAACTTGAGTCTCTTGTCTCTCTCACTGTCCTGGATTACTGTTGGTCTATCATGGTATTCAGACACAGCTTCTAAATGAGCATCATTTGTATCTTCGTTAATACCCTCCACAGCCTTTTCAGCTTCATCAGTGGTGAGTTTTTCATTAAGAACTTTGCTGCTAAAATTATCCCCAGAAGAATTGCGTTCTGTTTTTTCTGAGACAGACTCCAAAATACAAGCATTTTGTGAAAGTTTATCTTCTTCCGAACTGGCAATACTAAGGTCAGAGGAAGCACGCTTACTTGCAGGTATTGGCTAAAAAAGATTTTATACATTTTTAATGTTAAAACAGGATTCAAGATGGTGATCAAAACAATGTTTACAATGGTTTAATATCTATATTCAATAGAAGTTATTGAAGTTATAATTTAAGGAATTAACAGTTCTTCAACAATAAATATGAGAAAAATAAGTAGTAAGAAGCAATCGTTATTAACTTCACTTTTAAAATTAAAGATTTTATACTCCCAGCCATCAGTTTTATTCCTTAGATGTAGGTACAATCCCCCACCTCAAAGCACAACTCTAAAAACTAAATAAAATTTCCTTTCTAAATACTGACCAGAGAATTTTCTGTTTCCTCATCATCATCTTCCTCTTTGCCATCTTCAACTTCTTCTGTTACTTCAGCCTTTGCTTCTGCTATCAATTCTCGGATTGGTTTATTGGAATCAACAGTAACAAAGGGATGCTGTTGAGCATTAAAAAGAGCATATTCAGTAACAACTGAAATACCTGCCTGTAAAGGAAGTTTCAAACATAAAGCACACATACTAACAGGGTAAAAATATGAGTAGGAAAAACATAAACAACTTTGCAGAATATTACATTTAGTAAAGTAAGGAGGGGAGGAGGTTAACCAAAAAAAAAAAAAAAAAAAAGAGAGAGAGAGAGAGAGCTTTTGGTCAAAAAATCCACAACTGGATTTTTTGGGGTTTTTTTTTTTTAAAACAAACTGAAGTAGGCCAGGCACTCTCCTATAATCCTAGCAGCTCAGGAGGCTGAGGCAGTAGGATCCTAAGTTCAAAGTCAGCCTCAGCAATGTAGCAAGACACTGTCTCAAAATAAAAAATAAAAGGGGCTGGGGATATGGCTCAATGGTTAAGTCCCCCTGGGTTCAATTCCTGGTACCAAAAAAAAAAAAAAAAAAAGATTTGAAGTAATTTTTATCAAAAATGAAAAGATCTGTTATATATGGGTCCTAGAAACATATTGTTTCTGTATATTTAAAAATTTATCATTAAAAGTTTTAAATTAAAATGTAAAGCTAGTTTCAAGTCAGTACAAGTCACTTCTTAAAAAAGTAATAGCTATTAAGCTATTAAATCCTCAATAAAGCTGGGTATGGTGGCACATGCCTGTAATCCCAGCTTCAGAAGGCTGAGACAAGAGAATCACAATGTCAAGGCCAGCCTGAACAACTTAGCAAGACCCTGTCTCAAAATAAAAAGGACTGGAGATGTAGCACAACAACAGAGCACTTGCCTAGCATGCACAAGGTCCAGGGTTTAAAAAAACCTCAACAATGAAATTACAAAAAGCTTTACAGTTCTATCTAAAGTATCTATAATCACCTATTTTGTTTCTGAGATGGTTTTAATATTCTTAAAAGAAAACATTCATCTCTGTATACTCAACACTTAACAGTGTCTGTCACAGACTAAAACTTTCAAAGTAGTAAAATAATATTAGAAAGTGTATACTAGGGATATGCTTGTTGCACACAGCAAGGCAATTTTTTCCTGCTTTCCTCCCAACCCTCAAATAAATAGGTCAGGACTAGTACAATGTAGGAGTTACACAAATCATTCTAACAGATTTGTCATTCTGTTTATTTATCTATAATATTAATTATTTGATAAGCTTTTATTTCAAATATTACAAGGAGATCCCACTAACCAAAATTAAATTATCTGATCACTTTAAAATCATTTTTTAAAAGCCAACAATATTTACTACTGAACACAATAATAAAAAAAAATTAAAAATTAATTAGTTCGTGGTCCCTGTCCATAAGGAGCTTGCTTTCTAGTAATTAGAGAAATATAATGGAAATAACTAACAAAAAGAAAAGAATGTAATTAAACTGAATCAAAAAAACACAAGAAAGGGCTGGAGATAGAACTCAGTTGGTAGATTGCTTGCCTTGCATGCACAATGTGCTGGGTTCAATCCCCAGAACCACAAACAAAACAAAACAAAACAAAAAACCCACAAGAGAAATGGCTTATAAGAAAAAATGGCTTAATTTCTCTTAGTAATGGCAGCACATGTTGGTAAAAAGCAAATGTTGACTACTATACCATGTATTTCATCTTTCCACAGAGAAACTCAAGTGGGAAAAAAAATAACCACAATAAGTGAATTTGAAATTGCATTATTTTTAAGAGATGTTAAAACAATACAATTTGCTATTATCACACTATCCCTATTTTACCTGCAGTAGTTGAGATGTAGTCCACCTGGCATCCACATTCTTTTCCAAGCATTTCTTTAGAAAGTCCTTAAAATTTGAAGACCTTCAAAATAAAATTTTAACAATGACATTCTATTTTACTTTCTTGTTATTAAAATCAAACAAAATTCCTTAATAAACTATGCTTAAGTTTAATTATGTATGAAATCTTATTCATTCACCATTAAGAAACCTAGTTGGGCTGAGGCTGTGGCTCAGTGCTAGTGCACTTGCCAGGCATGTGTGAGGCACTAGGTTCGATTCTCAGCACCACATATAAATGAATAAATAAAATAAAGGACTATCTATAACTAAAAAAAAAAATTAAAAAAAAAAAGAAAACTGGGGCTGGGGATATGGCTCAATTAGTAGCGTGCTTGCCTGGCATGCGTGAGGCACTGGGTTCGATCCTCAGAACCACATAAAAATTAAAAAAAAAAAAGAAAACCAGTTAATGAGTATAAGATGTTATAAAACTTATTCTTCTATAAATATATATTAGACATATATTAAGAAGATACATAGTTGATCACTGAGATACAGCTATATATTTACAAGTATGCCAAAAAATCACAAAGATTATCCTATTATACTAAATTTCAAAAGGATATATCAACCACATATATACGTTACTTTCTTACACCACAGAAAATACCTTTTCATGCAGAACTCACTCAGGTTTTTCTCCTGTGTGGTGTAAGAAAGTAACATACATATTTTTTTCCTTTTTTTTTTTTTTTTTTTGGTATAAGGATTGAACCAAGGGCACTCAACAGCTGAGCCACATTCTCAACCCTTTTTTTATTTTCAGACAGGGTCTCACTAAGTTGCTCATGGTCTTGCTAAGTAGCTAGGGCTGGCTTTGAACTTGTGATCTTCCTGCCTCAGCCTTTAGAGACACTGAGATTACAGGCATATGCCACCATGCCTGGCTGATATAATTTTTTTTTGTATTGTCATTAAGTCTTGAAAATATAACCAAAATCAATTTTCTGATTCATGTAGTTTTTGTACCACATAACCAAACTTAAATGCCCTTGGAAAATTAGAAAAAATAAAACGTTAAGTTTTGCTTCCTGAAAATCTTTCTTTAGAATAATTTACCATCGTGATGGCTGTGCTAATGTAGGAGGTTCAGATTTTGCTATTTTTAGCAGCACTCGCATTGGATTTAACTCATGATGAGGTGGTTCTATCTCAGCCATTTCTATTAAAGTGATACCCAGGGACCAAACATCAGCTTTATAGTCATAGGGTCTGTCCTTCGACGTCTCACACATGACTACTTCAGGAGCCATCCTACGAAGACAGAGAATTTGAAAGTTGTTACGATGTTTAATTTAAGAACTGTTATTAAAAAAAAAAAAGAACTGGTATTTCAAACCATACAGACAATATAATAATTATTATTTGTTATTATTATTGAATTATAACTACTGACATGACTAATACTGTAAATTCATAAAAATACCTACCAATATGGAGTGCCAATAAAAGAATCCCTTCTTTGAATTGTCCTTGTGTTTTTAGCTGATACTCCAAAATCCGCTTAAAATAAATAAGCATACATTAGCATTAATGATAGCTTTTAAGCACAGTTAATTGTATTCAATGGGGCAGAGAAGGGGAATATTACAAGAGTGAATAAGGACACTCTTATTAAAGGGTAAATAAAATAGAAATAATTTCTCTACCATTCTAATCTTGACTATATAGTACCACTTTTCAAAAGCACTGCCAAAGTTTACATCCTCAACACACTAATACCACCATCTTCACATCTTCAGATGTTAAATTCTTCAAAATTGAAAACAAAAAATAGTAACTTCCAAATAGAAGAGTTTATCCACTTCAAAGCAAACATCAACTAAATCAACATTTTTTCCTATGGTGTAAAAAAACAGAAATTCTACCAAAGGAATCTTTATGACAGCATTATGATTTGCAAACATTCTTGTAACTGTATCAGAAAAGAATTGGAAACTTTGTGTTTTCTGATTTAAATTATAAAAATAGCAACATTGTAGCTTTATCAGTTATCAACTCCATCTCTTCATCTCAGAGCTCAGATAACCACTAAAGAACCAATTCATTGTTTTGAAAACTAAATAAATAAAAAGAATAAAGCATTTTCCTATCTTTTAATATGAACTATAGTTCTAAATAGTCAAATAGTTAAAGAAAAGTATCATCTTATTAAAAAAGATTGACAATTCATTTTGCCACCCAAATCAAAGAAGAAATCTAGGTATGAAGCATCTAAACACCAATAGCTGCTAACATCAGAAAAGAACAAAGGGAAACATTGCATGTCTCTTGATGAAATAATGCAAAACCACCTGTTTGTTTTACCAAAGGATCAGACTTGAGACTCATCAAGATTTTGGATTCAGTTACCAATTTGAAGGAAATATAAAAAGGAAATTATTGAAATCATCATTAAAATGCAATCAGCAAAAAGCAGTTGGAGGGAAATGATATAGGTCAAACAGCCCAGGTCCTTTGGGCAATGTTTTCCACCTTGCTTTCATTATTATTTCACTGAAGGACTCTTTTAAGACAAGTTTTCCTAATCTCCCCAGCCCACATAAAAATTTAATACCACACATACACTGTATGTATGTTCATGTATTCTGGATCTTTGAGGGAATCACAAACCACTATAATATCTAATATTCTTTGCCCCAAATATACTAATTATTGTTCCCTGGATAGAGACATTATTGACTCCATAAGAATGCACACTATCATGTTAAGAAAGAGATATAGGGGGCTGGGATTGTGGCTCAGCGGTACAGCACTCGACTAGCAAGTGTGAGGCCCTGGGTTTGATCCTCAGCACCACATATAAATAAATTAAATAAAGGTATTGTGTCCACCTACAACTAAGAAATATATATAATTTTTTAAAAGAAAGAGATATAGGGGATTCTGCAAATTAAAGGAGACTTAAAAAGAAAAATGTATATATGGGCAAGTTAAAATTTTTATAGAGATGAATAATGGGTGACTGAACCATTAAGAAATGCAAGGAAGTCACTGCTATAAAAATCAGGATGAAGCGTGGAGAGAGGAGGGACAGTGACTGAGATAGACAAGTAGAAGAACCTCTGGGATGTCTAACAAAGTTTAATTTTTTTTCCCTAGATGATAATTTCAAAAAACTTTTGCCTAAAAAGCTACAAAGTAACTAAGCTAGATGGTTTTTTGTGTGGTTTTCTATATCTATGTTATGTCACATTAAAAAAGAAAAAAATAATAATATTACATATATGTAGATGTCATGACAAAATAAAATAGCTAAAAAAATTTATAATAGTTGCATGTATTTTGTCCTTTTAATATCCTTCCAAAATGTGCAAATTAAGACTCCATCACTATATATTTTTTTTTACAATTTCATATCTTATATGGGATGGGTTCTATCTTCCATTTGAATAATGGATGAAATAATCTCCAATCTAAAATCTACATCTAATTCTTACAAAGTTCATTACTTATTCCTTCAGTGTAAAAAAACAAAATTAAAATACTAGTACTTACACTTACTTTAGGTATCCTTTTCAAACCTAATGTTACTTTGTTAGTTTATCTAGGGTACTATATTAATAACATAGAGTATAAAACTAAACATGAAAAAAAGAAACCTGCTAGATTTAAGTTTTGGAAATAAAGATAAAATTGAGTTAGTCGTACTATACTATATTTATTCTAAATGTAAAATATTAACATGTATTAAACCTATTCACAAAAATTGAAGGGAAAAAAACCTATCTTTTAAAAGTTTGTCCTTTTGAAAATAAAAAAAAAAAAAAAACTATACTTATGGGCTGGGGTTGTAACTCAGTGGTAGAGAACTTGCCCAGCATGTGTGAGGCACTGGGTTTAATCCTCAGTAGCACATAAAAATAAATAAATAAAAATAATGGTTTTGTGTCCATCTACAACTAAAAAAAAAAAAAATTTTTTTAGGGCTGGTATTGTGGCTCAGCGGTAGAGCGCTCACTTAGCACATGCAAGGCCCTGGATTCGATCCTCTGCACCACACAAAAATAAATAAAGGTTTTGTGTCCATCTACAACTAAAAAATAAATTTAAAAAATTTTTTTTAAACTAACCTTTCTTACTTTTCTTTTAAAGTGTTATATTAAAAACCTATAGGAACTCTGGAAGCTAATGCATATTTATCTAAGGAACTATTTTAAAAAAACTAGTAAGGAGTAATTCTTCATATGTCACCTATTTGAGCAATAAAATAATATTAAGAAACACATACACAGTGTATATCTCAGAACACAAATACAAATGTTTTATTTAAATGAATAACTTACCCAATTTAATATCTCCATCTAAGGTAAAAAGAATGTTGCCAGCTTTTAGATCTCTATGGATGATTTTATTATCATGTAAGTAGTTCAATGCCTCTAAAGTCTGCTTGCAAACTACTTGTATTTGGGACTCAGTTAATGGTCTCTCAAGTTCTACAGAAAGTAAAAACAAATTTTTTTAATTTTAAAAATCTGCATTTTTATACAATGAAAACATAGCAGTGAGCTATATCCCCTTTGGTATATACCATCACTGTGAACTTGTCAAAGATCATACTCCATATCTACAAAATAACTTTCCAGATATATTATACAACATTTCATTTTAGAACTACAATTATCCAAGAATATGAAAACACAATTAGGGGCCAGGATTGTGGCCCAGTGGTAAAGCACTCGCCTAGCACGTGCAAGGTGCTGGGTTGTATCCTTAGCACCACATAAAAATACAATAAAGGTATTGTGTTCAACTACACTAAAACAAAATTTTTTAAAAATACAACTAAATTGATTTTTTAATTCACTGAACTTCACTCAATAATTATATTACACATACATATATATAAATGGTTGAAATCCTTTACTCTTAAGTGTAATTTAAGAGGTAAACATAAAGAATAAAAAGGTATTTACCAAGCATCACAGCATCTACTGCTCCACCTGCACAAAATTCAATGAGGATCTGCATGCAAATAAAAAAGCACATGTCTAAAACTACATTGAGTTTCAGAATTTCTTCTTCAATTTAGCAAAAACGATAAAGAAATAGATACTGAACAATCTGGGTTATATAAACAATATTATGGTAAACATGAAGATTTTCTTTGTCAAAAGAGTTATAATTCTTAAGTAATATACATTTAAGAAAGCACAAAGAAATCACATTATGAAAGGAAGTGAGTTGTTGTTAAAATTCTCTAAAATTACCAGGTACGGAGTTTTTATTCTATTAAATGTTCACTTTTTTCATCACGGAAAGATTTTATTACTCCCATTTTAAGATAACTATTGTGGAATTATGTAATCAATTATCTTCATTTTTTAAATATATTAAGACTAAATCATAAAAATAAACATACAGATTTCTTTCAGCCTAAAAAAGTAGAATAGATAGATAGATAGATAGATAGATAGATAGATAGAATGTATATGTGTATACACACACACACAGCAAAAGTCCCTGCTTTTTTCTCTCTCTACAATACTTAATTTTTTCAGGTGTTTGCCAATTATATATTTTCAATGTCATTATATTCTGTAAAAAATAATTTAGAAGGTATATCATTATTCATCCTCTAGATGAGTAAACAGATTTACAAAGGTTAAGTGATTTATACAAGCTTCAAACTGATAAGACTAGGATCAAAAGTATAAGCCTTCTGCAAGAAGTGGTGGCACATGCCTGTAAACCCAGAGACTCCCAAGGCTGAGACAGAAGGATCACAAGTTCATGTGCTATGCAAGTGCTCTACTACTGAGCCATAACCCCAGCCCCTGGATCACAAGTTCAAAGCCAGCCTTAGCAACTTAGTGAGGCACTAAGTAACTTAGTGAGACTCTATCTCAAAATTTAAAAAAAAAAAGGAGAGGGGCAAGGGCTAGGATGTAGCTCAGTGTTTAAGCACTCCTGGGTACAATTTACAGTTCCAAATAAATAAATGTGTGTGTGTGTAAAAAGCTATTTGAGGGTGCTGGGGCTGCAGCTCAGTTGTAGAATGCTTGCCTAGCATGTGTGAGGCACTGGTTCAATCCTCAGCACCACATAAAAAATAAATTAATGAACAAAAATATTGTGTATCCATCTACCGCTAAAAAAATATTTTTTAAAAAATTTAGATTTCCAGTCAATAATTCTTTATGTTGCTTACTCTTCTCCCCTAACACTTTGCTTCTTTCTTCAAGGAAAAAAGCTAAAACTCCATTTTAAAATCTCTCTTGATTAAACTATGCTAGAACAGAACAAGTAACTGACTAGTTATCATAATGAATATTAACATTTTACTTTTGTATCTGTGCCTATTTTCTTAAAAGTGAACAAAATTTATATCTACAACCTTAGCCACTATATAATGCACTGAAATTGAGCCTGGTAATATATTAAGATATTTAACATTTACAATAAGCATTTTATACTTTATACATGATTTACAAAAATTTTTAGGATAAAAATTTATAAGCAACTTCTAGGAAAACAAAGAAAATTTAACAAATTTAAAATAAATACTTAAACTACAATAAGGACATCTAATTTCATACTTTGGGAAATTCAATATTCTTAACCAAGTTTTTCTACCTGGATCCAATGTCAAACAATTAGGATGAAACTGGTATAACTGGAAACTTAAATCTGAACATCTGTTGAAGCTGTGGGTAATTGTGTTATTAATGACTCGGTCATCCACAGATCAATTCTCATTCAAGTAATATAAGTAAAATATAGAAGAGGTAATACATAAAATAGGTTTCACTCTCTCTTTAGGACAATTATCTCATTTAAGCCATTCCATAGATCAGTAAGAAATACTTACCCAAAGATTGTTTTCATAATAGAAAGCATCTAGAAGCTTGACTATGTTTGGGTGATCACAAGATGCTAATATATCAATCTCAACCATATAATCTTCAAGTTCTTCTTCAGATTTAGTGTCAATCACCTTTGCAGCTGCTAAAACATTGGTCTCTTTATTCTGTGCCTAAAAATGAAAGTACCAGAAGTGTCACACTTCAAATGAATACTTTTTAAAATTTATTTTAGAGAAGTTTCAGGTTCACAGCAAACTTAGCAGAAAACAGAATTCCTTTACACCCCCCACTTCCTCCCTCACACACAAAACCTTCCCCACTACCAAGTCTGCACCAGGGTGATAAATTTGCTACAACTGATAAACCGACATTAACACATCATTATCACTCAAGCCATAGTTTACATTAGGGTTCACTCTTGGGGCTGCTCATTATCTATTACTTTCAACAAATAAACAAATGGCATGTATCCACCATTATAACATAACACAAAAGTTTATTTAGTGTGCCCTAAAAATCTTCTGGCTATTCCCTTCTCTCTTCTCACCAACTTCTGGCAACCCCTGATCTTTTTATTGCCTCCTTAGTTTTGCCTTTTCTAGAATGTCATAGTTAGGATCTTACCATCTGTAGACCTTTCATATTAGCTTCTCTCCCTTAGGAATATGTAAAGTTCCTCCAGGTCTTTTCATGGCTTGATAAATCGTTTTTGGTTTTTTTTTGTTTGTTTGTTTGTTTTTTAAAGTACTCAATTATATTCCAGTTCAGCTGTGCCAGTTTATTTATCCATTCATCAGATAAAGTATATACTGACTGTTACCAAGTTTTGGCAAATATGAATAAAGTTGCTATAAAAATGCATGTGTAGATTACTATGTGGACATAAGTTTTTACCTCATTTGGATAAATACCAAAGAATGCAAGTGTTGGATCCTATAGTTTGTTTAGTTTTGTAAGAAACTGCCAAACTATCTTCCAATGTGGATGTATCATTTTGCAGCAACGAATGTGAATTACTGTTGCTTCAAATCATCAGCATCATTTAGTATTATCAGTGTGGATTTTCACCAAATAGATGTGTAGTAGTATCCTATTGTTTCAACTTCCAATTCCCTAATGATATGAGATATGGAGCACCTTTTCTTTATTAGCCAAGTTTATAAAGTTTATATCTTTGGTGAGGTATCTGTCCAAATTTTGGTGAGGTATCTGCTCATTTTCTAATTGTTGAAGTTTTGGTGGGTTTTTTGTTGTTGTCTTTCTTTCTTTCGTTCTGTTCTGGTTTTCAGTGCTGGAGACTGAACCGAGGACATGGCACATGCTACGCAATTGCTCTACCACTGAGCTTCATCCCCTGTATTTTTTCTTTTTTTTTTTTGAGAGAGAGAGAATTTTCAACATCTATTTTCTAGTTTTCAGCGGACACAGCATCTTTGTTTGTATGTGGTGCTGAGGATCAAACCTGGGCCACATGCATGCCAGGCGAGCGCGCTACCGCTTGAGCCACATCCCCAGCCCCATCCCCCTTACTTTTTAAAATTTTATTTTGAGACAGGATCTCACTAAGTTGCCCAGCTAGCCTCAAACTTACGGATACTCCTGCCGGAGCCTCCAAGTCGTTGGAATCACAGACATGCAACACCTGGCCAATTTATTGGTTTTTTGTATTGGGCGCTTGGGGATTTGAATCCAGGGTCATATGCATACCTGGCAAGCACTTTACCACTGAGCCATATCCCCAGCCCCAATTTATTGTTGAGGTCTTTGCATATTTTGGATAACATTCCTTTATCTGATATGTGCTTTGAAAATAGTTTTCCCCCACATGTGGCTTGTCTTCTCATTCACTTGACATACTTTTTTTAAAGATAAATAGTAACTACAACTTGCTATGCTTACTGCTAAGTGCTTTATATGCAGAAGAGTTAGTGCTTTAAATCATCCCACTGAGTGGGTCAGAGCGCTAAGGATTCAAATTGTGGTTTTGCCACTTATTAGCATGTTGCTTGGGGCAACTTTAAAAAAAACGTGTGTGTGTGTGTGTGTGTGTGTGTGTGTGTATTCAATACAATGTTTGGCACATATAGTAAGGATTAAAAAATATTAGCTGTAATTATAACTACTAATTAATTTTAACAATACCACCATGATACTTTATTATACCTACTTCAAAGGAGGATATATATAAACTTGGGCAGGTAAAAAAGGTTTCCCCAGGTCATGTAGCTAATAAGAGGCAAAGAGTTTTTATATTCAAGTCTGCTTCCAAAGTGCACCCCCCCCTTTTTTTTTTAACCTTTATCATCATCCTTAAAGAGTATACACCCATTTTGATATAAGGATTACTTTGAGGTAAAAGCACTTGAAAAAACAAATGCAAGAAGAAGATTCTTACAAAGTTTCCCCATTCTCTTCCTGAAAAAAGATTTAAAAAAAAGAATCCTACTCTGTGTACCAAAAGAAAAATGCTTCAAAGAGAGTCATAACAGAACATTCTGTACAAATAGACCTTATTAAAACAATTCTTATTTTCATTTAGTCTCTCCACACAATTTACCAACTTTTCTGCAACAGTCTCTTTCTTTATTCAACCTAATACAAAAAGCATGTAGGTTTTGCCTTTCCTCTGCCACATAAAACTTTTATTAAATTTTATGCTTTTCTTCTGCTAATCTATGCCAATTTAATTCTCAGGTCCAAAGGGCAAAAGTCAAGTTTTTGCCTCCCCTACACCATTTCCAGTCTTTCTGTCTTTCTATCAATTTGGTCATGTTTCCTTGCTCTAATTAATTTAACTTTTCTATTTTCTTTCTTTGGGTGAATAACTTCTCACCAAATGGAAAGTTTCAAATATGTGATAGAGCCGAGATTATTTTTTTAGAAATCAGATTTTAAAATACGAATCAGGTTGTTTTAAAAGACATTTCAGTATTATATGTTATCATCACTTCAACAAAACTGCATTATTATCTTAAAAAAAGAAAAAAATATTAAACTTTAATATTTTTTAAATATTAATTTAAAAAAATATTAAACTTTAATATTTTTTAAATATTAAAGTTAATAACAGCATTTGAATCAAATGTATGATATGTCAAGATCATTGTAATGTTTTGAGCAATAAAAAAATTTTAAAAAAATAAAATAAAAATTAAAAAAAAAAGTTAATAACAGGGGCTGGGGTTGCAACTCAGTGGGAGAGCGCTTGCCTAACATACATGAGCACTGGGTTCGATTCTCAGCACCACATACAAATAAATAAAAAAATAAATAAAGATTCATCAACAACTAAAAAATATTTTTTAAGAAAAGTAAATAACAAATGTTTCAATACATAAATATCCAAATCCCACTTTTAAGAACTTATCATAAAGATATAATTTCATAAAATAAAAATATGCCTGCATAAAAATATGATCGAAGCAATAATGCTAGAAAAATTGAATCAGCCTAAATGTCCATTAACAGGAACTTCCTTAAATCATGTAGTATAGTTCTACAATGGAAAATTACAGTCTTTAATCAATTGACTAATCAATTAATATTTCTTAAGATGGAATAGTAGCCACAACACATCAATGACTGAGAGAAAACAAGAATGAAAGGTATGCAATTTCCCTAAAAATTACACATGAGTTTTCACATATTGATGGCTACATACATGGGGTTTCTACACTTATAAATTTCTGTATTTCTCACACTATTTTAATTTTTAATGGATTTGCATTCTTTTCACAGAATGCAGAAGAAATAAAGTACTAAAAAATAAGCATATAAGAAATTTCTGAGATCTATTATCTAATCTTGGAGATAATAAAAAGAATAAATGAAGCAGGTATCAGGCTTGCACATGGACATTGCCTAAGTAGATTATTGCTAAATTTTAAATTTTGGGGGGGAAAAAATAGAGGTAAAGAGAATACTACTGTTTGGGGTTCAGAGAATATCCTTCAGATATTAAAAACAATTTCCTTACCACTCTAAAAAAAACATTCTAATCCACTACATCATCAAATCTGGAATGCCTTTTTAAATTAGCTATTATTTCTTAGTCCACTAAGGATAAAAGCACTTGGTAATTAAACTATGACAATTCATCATTTAGAATTTTTCTTTTCTTTTTTTTTTTTTGAGAGAGAGAGAGGGAATATCTTTTTTGTAGATGGACACAACACAATGCCTTTATTTTTATATGGTGCTGAGACTGAGAATCGAACCCGGGTCCCGCCCATGCTAGGCGAGCGTTCTACTGCTGAGCCACAATCCCAGCCCCATCATTTAGAATTTCTATTATGCTTTTTGAACGGGTTCTTTTGGACATACTTAAAAACAAGCTGTTATCGCATAACTATTATATAAAAAGCTAAATAATTCTTCCTATTCAAGTTTGACTCTTCCAATAACTATTTTTTCCAGTTATATAATGTCTGTGTTTTCCCACACAAAACTGTCCTCTGGCCATTAAAAGCTGTGGTGATGTGGCTTTCTTAAGAGCATCCCACCAGTGTCTCCAAGGTTTTCTTGGAAGCCAATGAATCCTGTTTTATAGGTTATAATGCTGGTACGTTCTTGATCTTACCACAGGCACTAAATGAAGATTTCTGGAGAAGAACCAAGACTCACACAGACTCTTCAAAAGATCCTCAAATAGTTTACTGATTGAAATATTAAGGGTTTGCAAGAGAATGATACCAGAATACATGTAAGTTCACAATACACAGGAATGACTGCTGTATCACGACCACTACCTGGCCAAGAATAATGACAAGATGGTGTCAAACAAAAACAAAACAAAAAGACATTTCCGACTTTCCCAGTTTCAGAAATGTTAAAAAAAAAAAAAAAAGACCTGTTGTAACTGGTAAAATATGGCATTAAATTTGTCTCCCTCAGAAAGAGACTTAGAATTGAGTCAATAATTAGAACTCACCCTCCCCTGAAGCAGATGGAATAAACCAGTTAGAGATGAACCCTTCTCTTTACCATTTTAACTTAAATTTGGAAGAAAAAAATCAGAAGGAACATATCCTTAGAGAAGAATACTATAAAATATAGGCCCTAGTAGAAAACCAAGAATATTGGGAGTGGAGCTACAAGTCATCCTGCTTCTGCATGCTATATATTCTGCATCTCTAAGATGTCCTAAGAAACAGTAAAGATGTATTTTTTA